AAACTTTGCAACTGCAACGTCTCATGCTGAGGAGCTGAACACACAGACATAGATAGACCTGACAATCAGGTCAGCTGACTCTGTCTGATGCAATATGTGTTTAGAAAAACTAAGGCATTTATAGATATATCAGACAACCGATTTCTTGTTTGATTAACTTTATTTCCTGAAATTGATAACTCTCTTTTATTTTTAGTTGAAGTAGGCTTAACTAACTAACAGCGATTGAATTTCTATGAGTTTTTCTCGAGACGTTTTTGAGCTTTGTTTTCCCGGGACCAATGTCTAACGATTTCCCGGAAAATCTTGACTCGAGAGTACTCGGGGCACAAACCACACTATTGACCTATTTTGGTTTTGGATATTCGTAAATCCACGACTGATTAAACTCTTAACGCGATTAATTGGTTTGGGGTGGGGGGGGGGAAAAAATTTTGATATTATTACCACCTACCACCAACAGGCACATTTAAAAACGGATTGTCAAGACCAACGGTGGAGATTGAACCAACGAACCATTGATTATTACATACATTGCCATACAGACTTTTTGGCCAATCTGGGATTCGAATTTGAGGTCTTCAATCGATTGCATTAACCACTAGACAAAGCTGATTTTTACTCATTTATAGTATATCATTTGCTATATATTCATTTTAAATAGCTAACTGAGTAAAATCTCTTTTTTTTGTGCAGTAATTGACTGACAAACAGCCAAGTAGATAATGTATTTAAGTAAAGCATTTTTAACGGTTTCAAAGAGAAATATATTAGTTAATTTGACTACGACGTCGATGCTTTGTAGCTGCCGTGATTACGGTACGTATTTTGAGTGTTAAACTGTTAAAGAGTTTTATTTAAATGTGTATTCGCGTATATTACAGATAATACTTAATATGTATTGATTAAAAGCTTCAGTAATCATTGTTATATAAAAATCTAGAAATAATTCGCTGGTGAGTAACTAAAAACTACATTTGGTTAAATTATTATGCAACGTCGCAAGCAGGTCGAGGCTCCTAATGTTATTTCCTTTATATTTTAATATTCTTCGCGCGCTGTCCGCGACCCTCTTACGCCTTACGTGTTATTTATTAACAATTTCTTTACACCTTCTTATACAACAATGGTAACCTTGATCAAGGCTTTATTTACGCTTCCGATACTTTTTAACTTCTTCGACCAGAATCGACCTCACTGGAATCCCCTTTTATTTAGCTACTGTATTTTTAATCTTAACACTACCAAACCTGGCATACTGAAGTATTTTGGCGAAAATAGATTACAATAAAAACGGTTCTTGCGCGTAAGTTAATCTTAATAGATAGATGTATAGAGACCCCGATGTTTTTTTTTAGATTATTTAAATTTCTTTTATATACAGAAGCCCTTAAAGTACCATTTTTCCAGATTTCTCTCGTTTTCTTCGCTCCCATTTGTCGTAGCATAATGTTATCTCCTAAAACCTCCCTGACAAATGGTCCAACCAACACAAAAAATTCAAATCTAACCCGTTTTTGATCGTGTTCAAACAAACCCTTCAAGTTGACGATATTAGTTCCTATAGATAAAGTCCTTAATACAATATATCTCTTAGGTCAATCAACATGAGAATTCGTCATATACGTTTTTTTTAGTGTAATGTCTGAAGTAAAGAGATGACGTTTTTAGACTTGATTTTGCAAATATTCTAGGCGCCAATTTACATTTTATGAAGACTATTTTGTAATACATTTCCTTATTCGTTCTATATGTGAGGAAAAACAATTTTTCTAGTAACTGAGAATCTAAGAAATGTAGGGTTAGCAAACTGTAAGCATTATATTTAATCATAATATCGGTTTAACTATATTTTATTTCATATTATCGGTCAATACGTACATATTTTAGACAAAATATTCAATTTTCGTTTCTCTAAAAATAAGTAGTATGTCTTCAGGCTTTTTTACACTGCCCTAATAAAACAATTTATTTTGTCCCGAGACCTCAAGTCGAAAACCATTCTCAATGAAATCTAATTAATAATATGTTTTACCACCGCGGCTTTTGACTTATGTCAAAAGGACAGATATAATAATAGTTAAACCCGTTTTTCACTCAAATGGGGTATGGGGTCTGTGCTCGTCCGTGAAAAGGGTCCAGTGAAAAAAAGGAAACAAGGTCTCGCGTTTCATGATTTATTGTTATTTCGGCAAAGTAGAGGACGCGTGAATTCACTCAGAATGTCGAAATCAATAATAAAGGACACACATAATGTTGTCCTGCATACTAAATTAGTTCCAGAAACTCTGGGCTGGCACAGAATAATAAAAACAGTTGAGATCTCACCATTCGTAGAATAAGATAATTTTATTAACGATTGAAATGATTATTGTTAAAATCAAGTACGTATTTAGTGATATGAAGAATCGCTTTTAATTTTATATGTAATCGAAAATTCATACTGCGCTTTTTCTACTGTAGACAATAATAAGTACTGTATGCAAATAAATAATGTTGCACTGTATTGTTAATGTTTATTCCATACATTTTTAATGTAATACTTTTTCGTAGCTTCAAACAAGGTTTTACAGACCTTTTGATATATCTTAATTACTATATATTCATATACGATTCACATAGCAGCCCTACCAAAGGCAGGTATGCTGTCGCACTTGACCGCTGATCTCGACCCTGAGCAGTGTCGTAGACTACGATATTTCGATAAACAATGTACCATTAGCCCCTACTTGGACACGGTAGTGCGAATATGTAGCCCCTATACATGGTGTTGTTTTTGTGCGTCGTTTGATTACTATTAAGTCTCATTACGATATGGGAAATAATATCTTGTTAAATGCTAATAAGTCTATACTAATATTATAAAGCTGAAGCTAGGTTGTTTCAAAGCACGAATCCCAGGAACTACTGGTTCGAATTGAAAAATATTAGTATATTTTTCAATATTTATTTTATGTATATACTACATATACAGTGCATAAAATGTTTATTCTCTTCTAAATAATATAGAAAATGTGCGCGATGGTATATCTTTTAAGATTTACTTGCAAGAACCGTTTTTAAGGCAATTCAATTTGTTCGAAATACGGCAGAAAGTTTAATATAACTTTTACTCTGCGAAAGCTATCAAATATTGATGAATATTCAATTTCAAATGATAGTATTTGTTCTAATAAGTTATATAATAGCATTTAAATAAAACACTCTAACGGTTTAAAACGCGATATATTAGCGGCCAGTTCCGGCCAGTTTCGCCAAATACCAACTTCGACGGAACAGATGACGTTAACGTAGCAATTTTTTACTTTGACGCCAGAGACATCCTCCATCTTTAGTCTCCCCGTGACCACGGCAAACGCTGCAAAGCATCCGAAACGTCAGGCCGAAGTAAAAAATCATTTTCAAATAACTTTAACTAATATATCGCGTTTTAAACCGTTAAAGTGTTTTATTTAAATGTGTACTCGCGTAAAGTATAGACAGTATTCTATTTCATATGTAGAAAAATCATTACCTGCGAATCTAAATTAATTCAAAATTCAAACATTTTTCTTCGTCCAAAATTACAAGTGAAATTGTCTGAAATAAATTGATTTCGTATTTTGTCGCAATCAATTAGTGCTTCTTGACATTAAGGCTTTGAAACTTAGGTAATAAATATTTTGATTAAAGAATTAATCTTCTTCAGAGAAGAAGTTCTCATTTGCGAGAACAGCTGTTCTGATTGCGTCCTGTGGGACCCTAAGAAGCTTTGAAACGCAAATTGCTTGTAAATCAATGGCTGCCTTACACAATTAATATTTTTGCATCCTTTATAAGCGAGATACTTGTTTTATAAAGTACCACAAATCAAAATCGAATTATGAAAAAAATAATGCATACCTATACAATTATGATGATTGTTTTTACTTAAAAGACGAAGAAGCTAAAAAGTATCAGTAATAGTAAATTTCAAAAATAATGAAATACTGACATATTTTTAACTAGCTGTGTCAGCGACTTCGTCCGCGTAGAGTAGTTATTTTGACGTCGTACGCGTCCCGTCGTTCTTGCAAATTAATTTTAAAATATAGACATATGGTGTCGCGTACATTTTCTTTAATACATATTAATTGGGTATTTTTTACCGTTTTCGCAGCGTATGCAAGGGAAACCCAGAGGGATGAATTTCCCCTGCTTTTTCACATTTCCCGCTGTTTCTTCGCTCCTATTAGTCACAGCGCGATGTTTTATAGCCTTTCTCGATAAACGCTCAACCTAACACATTGTTTTAATTCGAAAAAGAAGTTCCTGAGATTAGCGCGTTCAAACAAACAAACAAACTCTTCAGCTTTATATATTAGTATAGATTAGGTATGTCATAGAATATGTAAAATCTGTACTTATCTAATATGTGGTATTAAAGGTTTAGAGGCTAATAGCTAATGATAAAAAATAAATTTTATAACATACAAATAGTTGCTTATGTAAATGATTTATGTTAGATATTCTGAAAAATAATTTTATTGCACTTCTGTGAACATATTGCGCATGAGTCGTGGTTCGAATAGCTTTTACAGGCAATAATCGCACCCACAGCACACGACAAAGTCTTAAAACTAATCAACCTACTTGATACGAGTGGAAAATAAACCCCAGTTGGCGTAAACCGGCGTTACTACAAACGTCAAGAGTCACGATAAGCCAAAGTAATTAGCGACTGAAATTCCGGAATGGGACTTACATAACGCGACGTAATTTGACGTCGACCTAGAGGGAAGATGGATCGTGGTCACCACGATAACGCGAGATAGCGTGGCCTTACTCTTATCAAAGTGGTAGGAATCTTCGATAGGTTACAGCAGCGAGACAGCATTCGCACAGAAGCCTTCTAAGGCAACACGCGACATCCTTGAGGCGAGCGCTGCCCGTGCGCATATCGCTGTATGCAGGGTGAGGATGCTATACACATAGACTAAAAAGTGATTTGTATCGAATAGTGAAGTGATTCCGTTATAAACATGGGTGAGTTTCTTGTGATATTATTTCGGCTACGTATTATTAATTTCCTATATTGATAAATTCTCATGTGCAAATCGAATTTAGTGAGTTTATTTACAATGGTAATGTCAGTGCTCTTCAGGTGTGAACAAATAATGCGAAACTACACGCCTGCCAATCAAGATGACAGTATCTTTGAACGCTCTTAAAGATACAAGTTCGTTCTTTGTTGTATTATAAAGACATCAGAATATTGACTTTGGCTGTAATAATTAAAATTAGTTACGACCAAAATGATTTTGCTTCCACGATGGCATTTTTTATGTTTTCTATACGTATGTAACATGGAAATTAATAAGTATGAAAAAAACGAAGATTTTGAAGCTTAGGTAATTGCAAATAAATACCACAAATGTTACATAATTTGAAAGCAATGAATGGATTATGACAAAGGGAAATATATACTTATAAAAATAAATCTTTAAAATTTTAAATACCCTTTTGACTGACACCTTGAATCCATGGATTCATGCATAGTTAAAAAGCACAAGTAGTCAGATTGATCCGGGAAATCTTTTCTCGTTCAGAATTCTACCCCTTTCCGGCCATAAACCCACGGTCTATTAGCGGAAAATCCGTCGAGTGAAAATATTGAATTCTGTCAGTGGATTTTGGAATTTTCAAAAACATATTAATTTTCATCTGTTAGTCCTAAGATTACTAGATGTCTTCTTTACCACAATCGCACACACAGTAGAAATTATCAAACGAAAATAAATTTTAACAAAAGTAAAGCGCAAGTCAAGAAACGTTTGTTCCTGAAATTCATTCTAATGATCTTTAAAAAAATCGAATAAGCATGCACAAATATCTAATATTTTTTGTTCTCTAATATATAATTTAATATTTTTTTTGTTATATTCTCGTGGATGTTTCTATGACGTTTCCTGCTTTAGAAAACGTAAAAATTAGTAAAATATAGTTATTTTTTGTAAACGTTCAAATGTTCCTGTGGCCACCTACCTTAAAATAGGTTTAGCCACTTTTAATTCATATTCAATATAAAAGAAAAAAATCTTTATATTAAAGTGTGACTTTCAAAAAAACCACCAAGTACAATTTGTATTTTACGCGAATAGTATACATTTCTGTTTGAAACAGGGGCGGAGGTATCGGATGCTTTACAGGAGTCTTGGCTAGGTTTTAAAAAAATGATCAGTTATAACGGGCTCGTTGGTCTAATGGTAGCAATGTATGGCTAATAATCTTCGGGTCGTGGGTTCGATCCCCACCAGTTCCAACATGGTTCTAATTTTTCAAATTTTTATTTTTTGTGAAACGAGTTGGTTGGACTTTATCTGGAAATCTGGACATTAAATGGGTGGTAGGAATCTCAAAATTCCGTCCGTGTCACGGACCACCGTCAATAGAGGAAAAAGTCATGAAGATTCATCACATCTCGATGCCGGTCTGTGGATTTCCGAATATCCAAAGCCAAAATGGTTGACAGTGCACCTTGTTTATATGTTGCTGGGGTGAACCTCTCATTAAGTCCCATTAAGTAATTAATCCCATGGTCAGGTCTCCCCAGGTCTATAATCCTCTATCAAAAAGAAATATGTATGATAGGTGCGAGTTTTAAATCTTCACTTGACACGATACGCAGGATTTTGGATTTGGATAATCAACGTTTCCTGAAATTTGTTATTTGTATTCAATTTTGAATATTTTGTTAAATTATTAATTAACATATAAATCAGCTTGATCTAAGAAAATACCCAGTTACAATTAAACAAAATTATATATTTTCAAATATATTTGTCACAAACTTTGCGCGCAGATAACAATGTATGCATATGCCACTCAGTTTACAACGGTAAAACCTTTCGTCTCGTTTTAAGAAAAAATTGATTTATACCGCGAATGCTACTATTACAACAAAAAGATAAGATAGTATCTGTATACAGTTAGATGTGACAATTTAATCGAGCGTTACAACTAAATGTTTGCTCTAAGATTTTGAGATTATAAAGTGAGTGACTAAACAAATCTATTTTATTAAAACAATTTTAACGATTGTAAACGCGAAATATAAGTTATTTTTATCTAATCAAATATATATTTCGCCTTTTAAACAGTTAAAAATGTAACACACTACTTAAACAAATTTATGTCAATCTTATTTCCAAATAATTTGATTAAAAGTTAAATTAAAGACATATGTTTATCAGCTATGGAATACACAAGTAACTAACAATTTATTTCTTTGCACATATTGCTTAATAATTTTTTTTAAATTTAAAATTTGATGACAAATTGGTCCCCCACTCGATTGTTTTCATTTATAGAACCGAAAAAAAAAGTTTGTAAACCGCCTTATTTCTTATATTACAAAGTTTAGAATTTTAGTTTTTATTTATTGTGAAGTCGTTAAAACTTGTTTGAACAAATTATTTACATAACGATAAAGTCAATTGTCTACAGTAGTCCACTGGCTGATTATTAAACAAATACATTTTTTGATGTTTTATATTATTTAACCTTGACACCCTAATATTAAAATCATATCTCTTCTATGATACAGGTGCTTATTTTTCCATCGGTGAAGTGCGTTTATGCCGCGTTTTCAATAGGAAGATAACACTTTTAATCTCGGAAATGTTACTTTGGTGTCTTAACTATCGCCTGTTATCGTGCACTTAGTGCGTCGAAAAACAATGTGTTCGGACAATATTATCGTCGTTCATCAGGGTATATAGGCCATAATCTACTGACTTCTAATACTCACACTTGTTAGATGGCATGTGTCATCGAATTTTCAGATTTCTCTAAATATAAATTTCATGGCTACTTCAATATATTTATATATATATTAAATATTCATAATAAAATATTATGTACGAAGATATTGAACTTTAATATTTTGCACAAGATGGCACTTTACAAATTCAAAAACGGTTATAAAATAAAAAAATTACCCACTCGGACTCGGTAGCTCAATTGTTTAGAGCAACAACACGGAACGCTATGGATGCCGATGTAAGTCCTGGCCAAGTCGATTATATATTTTTTTTTTCAATTTAAAATCGATTTTTATTTAATAGAGATATTGATACTTACTAATATGATTTACTTTGTTTTTATACAGATTTGGAGTGTTTCTATTAAACGACCCATTTATGACTTACAATGATCATTAATTTAAAATCAAAGAAGTTTATAATATTTAATAAATTGACAACAAATTTTTCAATGATTGATTATTTGCACAGAATATACGTACACTCTTTATTATAAACTCTCTGTAATATATTTTTACATATACTTATAGAAATAAAGAACAACGTTACTTGGAAATACATCTTAATAAATGCATGAACTTCTAACGTGTTCTACTTTATAACTCTCATCTATAAACAAAGAAATTATAATGTCTCATTCATTAAATTATGAGGGTAGATAATCCTTCGCTGAATAAGGTCAGTGCAGCGCCCTCATAACTAAAACAAATGAATTCTTACATTATTACACACCATATCCGCCCTAATCACGGCCGTGCAAGACTTAAAATAGTGTATGAGGAAAATATACTATCATTTAAGATATGCCTCACAGTTATTGCACAGTGCAGTTGCGAATAGTAAAAGGTTGTGTCGATAATTGTCGTGAGCATTAGGAAAAATGACTGTCGTAGAACAGCATTTGACCGTCACGAGGACAATCAGACCGGTTCTATCAGTTAAGTGTTCAGTGGGAGAAGAAGAAGAAGAAGAGTGTTGAAGTGCTGTGTGCTGATTTTTCCAATTTGATTGCAGGTTTGGACTTTTTGGAACATGGAGCGGACTTCGAAGCCGCCATATCGGCGACTGGTAAGTTTGTATATCTGTACGTCACTGTAATTTATGTTGTGTATAATTAAAATTGTATTTAAATACGTCACCTTATATAGAAAAATTATTAAAAATGTCCAATAAACTTATGTAGGCTCTAATTATTTTCGTAGCGAAATTTAATTTGTTTAAATGAAAATTATTTTTCTGTTACATGCTTGATACATAATAGAGGTAAGTTGCAAAAATAGTAAACATCAGACACAAGCGAATATTGTTATTATATTAAAATTATTGCAATAAATGATTTAAAAGAAAAATCGAATACGTAACACACTTGCCAAGTTTTCGATCATCATAGCGAGCTGACGCTTGTGTCAACATTAAATTAGACGAAACATTATTTTATAATTTATGTAACAATATTGTGATTATTATTTTTAGTTTCTATAAAATATTCCTTTATAATCAGTCAAAAATATGATTTTTCAAGAGGCAGCCTAACTGCTAATATTTCAGACGATAAAGACACAACCTAGAAATTAAATACTAAAGCAAAAAAGTCATATGTTAACAACGTCTACTGAGAAATTATTGCAACGATGTTAGTCTTCATAATATCTATGACAACCATTGCAAAATATAAATCACTTTTGGCTGTTTTTCGACTGACATGTATTATTTCCAGGTTTCGGTCGATTCCACTTCTGTCTGCTCGCCATCACAGGACTTATTTATGCCGACACGGCTATCGGCATCACAATTGTGTCCTTCGTGTTGCCGGCCGCAACATGCGACTTCAGAATGACATCTGCCGACAAAGGGTGGCTCACTGCTGCTCCTATGTTAGGTAAGCCCATTTCCTTTTAAATTCTGTATAAAATTTGGACATCATTATCTTGTGACGAGATCTAAAAGAAGAGATAGTCTAAGAGGAAGCCTATGGTGTTTCAATGCAGTTTCCTCTTACAGACCCGAATTGAAACTCGGCAAATTGCAGTAATTAGATAGCCTCTTCCTTTTCCAATTTATATAAGATATATTTTCTCTCCAACTATTCCTAGATTCGATTCCATAAAACTTGATGCATTAGGCAATAAAAGATGTGAAGCTTGATTTCATATAATTGTTTCAATTCTTTAGGAATGGTAATCGGTTCCTACTTCTGGGGTTGCCTGGCTGACACGAAGGGCCGTAAAATTGTGTTGGTCTCCACCCTTCTCCTTGATGGCTTCGTGGGCATCTTCTCATCGTTCGTCCAGATCCTTCCTATCTTCATGGCTTGCAGATTTATTAACGGTTTTGCGTAAGTACTGAATACAATTTAATTTCGATATAAAATTATTAATTTGTTATTATGAAAAAATCAATGACGATTATTTTACTATGACTGCCTTATTTGGCACAATGATAAAATGCTTAGTATTAGCAGGGAGACAACAATTGGTAAGATCTCGAATCTCAAGATATGGAAGGTCTTATGGAAAATCTTAAGTTGCATGTTGCAATGCAATATTTTAGCCTACTTTAATTATTGTCACCTTTATGACAGAGAATATTAGAGTAATTGACTAAACACCATTTTAATTAAACTCTCAATAATACTTCTGTTTCAGCGTTGCCGGAGCTATGGGTATCTGTTTCCCGTACCTCGGGGAATTCCAGGCAACCAAATACCGTGAGAAGATCCTCTGCTGGATGGAAATGTTCTGGACTCTCGGTGTTATATTGCTACCACGTAAGATTTTTTTGTGTATATAGCATACATTTGTTATTTCCATTGTATTTAAGTCTACCGTAGGATCTACTGATGAGTGATAAAAGTCTTTAGATTAGTATTTTAATTACAAACGGGTTAAAACGCGATATATTAGTTATCGCATAAATAAGTAATAAAACTAATATATCACGTTTTAAACCGTTAAAGTGTTTTATTTAAATGTATTACCTTTGTTATAATTTAAAACATGGAAGTATGCGATGAAATGATACATACATACCATATTTATTAAGAAAAACATTGAAACAATAAGCCTTAAAAATTACTTTTGAACATGTTGAAACATTTGCGACCGCGCTAAGTATTTTTGGGCAAGTTGGGCTTAGAATTGTAGGTAAAGTAAAAGAATACGTAGATATTATTACATCGATATTAAGTGTTGTGTTATTTATAAAGCGTATTTGATTAATGCCCATAGGCTTTATTAGCGTCATATTCAAGTGGTTGTAGGAAAATCTTAGCATTTGTCTATAAATATAGACACATATTTTTTGCACAAAACGAATCCGGGGATAATAGATTCTTACTAAAAATTTCTTTTCAGTTTTCGCCTGGGCCATCATTCCCATCCAGGGTATACGAATGGAAGCAGGTAGTTTCTCATACGACTCATGGAACTGGTTCGTGTCTGCATGCGCTGTACCCTCCCTCCTCCTCGGCTTCTGGCTCCTAACCTTCCCGGAGAGTCCCAAGTTCATGATGGAGTGCGGTGACTACGACGACGCTCTCGCCTGCCTGAAGACCATTTACAAGCAGAACACCGGCGACGACCCTGATAACTACCCAGTGAGATAAAGAGTTATATTAAAAATATATTATATTTTTTTGTCATGGGTCATAATAACATCGTTATTTTCAGATCAAAAGCCTCAAGGAAAAGCAACGTACAGTGTCGGTTGCATCACAGAGCTCACAAAAATCTGTGCGATCATTGAGCATGCGAAAACCCAAGGATCTTAAGAGACTGTTCAGCGAGATCTGGGTTCAGACCAAAGCCCTATGCAGACCGCCTTACCTCAAATACACAATACTCACTTGTCTCATTCAGTTTGGCTTAACTACTAGGTAAGTGCTGTGCGGCAAATATTTTAGTTGAAAGAAATGGATTTCTATTATAACCAGAACCATGTTCCTTGAGCCCTTATAAAATATTAAATGTCACTTCTTTCTTACTTTTTAGCTACTACACACTTATGATCTGGTTCCCGGAGTTGTTCAATCGTTACGAGGAGTATGAACATCGTTTCCCGAACACATCGGCGTCCGTCTGTGACGTTTCCAGCGTTGTTGTCGACAAGGACTCCAGCGACCCCTTCGACTGCGAAAAAATTATCGACCAGAGCGTGTACATGCATACGCTGATCGTCGGTCTCGCCTGTATTCCAACTTCCCTGTGGCTCCCACTCTGTGTACATAAACTTGGTGCCAAATTCTTCTTGAGTGAGTGAACTTTTTCTTCTAGTACTGGTGATAAATAATAAGATAATTTAGTAGAGATCTATACACAAACATGGCAAATTTGTATATTTAGTTGAGAATAAGATGTGTGGCGACATTTTAAAGAATTAATCCCCTTTTGAAAATAATATGTGGCTGTCAAAGTTCAAATGTTCGGTCGCAGTTTGTTTAAACTGGTTTTGGGCGAGAGTTTCGAATAGGCACCTACTTAAAAAATGCCAAAGGTGTCTACAACACTATTGCCAAGATTAAAAAAAAGCAACTGAATATATACGTTAAGCTTATTTGTTGATTTCAGCAGCTATCTGTTGGCGAATTAAGTTTTTGATCCAGAGAGATTATCTAATGAAACAATCTGTTTTAGTCTTCTCGCTAAGTTGCGCCGGCGCAGTGACCGTCGGACTGCTGTTCATCGAAAACTCCACGCAGAACTTGGTGTTATCCTGTATCTTCGAAGCGCTCACATCTCTCGCTATCAGTCTTGTGTTCTGTGTACTTGTAGATCTGTTCCCAACAAACCTCAGGTAATTTTTCAATACCTAAATATCCGTGAAATAAAATCTGTATGGTATTTTTTTATAATTTAAAGCAAAGTCACTACACGATATACAATAAGAAAGTATACTACACAGAGTAGTACACATTTAAATAAATTGCGAAATATATTAGTGGTCACGGCTGCTGCAAAACATCCGAAACGTCGAGTCGTAGTTAAAAATAAATTTAACTGATATATTTCGTGTTTTAAACTTTTAAAGTGTTCTTTACCTATATAATGTTACAGCAATACTTAAAGACACACACTTTTATAAACAGGGTGATGGCAGCAGCACTGTCACTAACAGCTGGTCGAGGCGGTGGTCTTATTGGTAACCTGTCCTTTGGTTATCTGATCGACATCAACTGTGTTGTACCCATTGTAGTCTTCGCGGCGTTCTTGTTTAGTAAGTATTCAATCTTATTTTTAATAAATCATAAAATATGATGTACATACACACTTAAAAATAAAATGTATATTCACCTAAAATATTGTAAAGAATGTTTAATGTACGTACCTATATCTAAAACATGTTTCGCAATGAGGTAGTAAGTAGTAGTAGGTAGTAGAGGTAGTAGTAGCTAAGTTTACGGTGTAGGTATATATAAAACAGAATTTTATCCACAACAACTATTATTATTAAAAAAAACTACATTTTTACCATAAAGATATTATGATCGCAAACTAATTAGTAATTGTTAAAAGTGATACCTGACCATGAATAAAGGTTGTTACAATTACTAACGAGACTTATATAAAATACAAAGTAATGTTCATACAACACTAACATCATACATCTACTTCCAGTTGCCGCTGCCCTTTGCTTCCTCTTGCCAAAGACAGGACAAGAAGCTCTCGACTAGACAAGTTCAAATAGCTAGTGCAATTAGATCAGTGATACTCAACCTTTCATGTCTAATACCTCAGCCTAACAGGCTCAATGACGGTTTGGGCATCGCTGACCTAATGAAGTTCAGTGGATAGAACAGCGACTGCGCAGGTTCTTTGCAAAAAACGACTCGCGCCGTTCAAGGACTAGAATTTGGCAACTCGAGGTTGAGTATTGCTGAATTAGATAAAGCGTAGAAACACTTGTGATGTACATAATAGGATGTAAATATTGAGGACTAAGTATTTATTGTCCCTTAAAGATAAAGTATGGCGCAGCCACTGTGATTCAGTACAAATTATTGAAGAGCAGCTAATCTAAGATTGAACAACAGTATTTTAGTGTTGACTTTGTAATATAATGCCTTAAATTATTATTATATTTATTATTAAAGGTTAATTCGCCTATTAATAAATTATTCGTTTTAATTAACACCACTTCTTTACCTTATTACCATTACTCTATATACTGATATATAAAGCTGAAGAGTTTGTTTGTTTGTTTGAACGAACTAATCTCAAGAACTACGGGTTCGAATTGAAAAAATATTTTTGTGTTGGTTAAAGCATTTATCAAGGAAGGTTATAAAACATCGCGCTGTGACTAATAGAAGCGAAGATACTGCGGGAAATGTCAACAAAACGGGGGAAATTGTTCATCTCTGTGGGTTTCAGATGGTTCAAAATACCTAAAAAAATTGTAGGAAAGAGTGATTCCTCTTTAAATAATCTAAAAAAAAGTCAGCGACGCTATGTGTCTATCTTTTAAGATAAACTTGCAAGAACGGCGGGAAGGAACGCGATCGAAGCTTACAAAGATGACGGGGTTTGCAAAAACTGATTTGGATGCCCAAAATAATGATTATCGCGGAAGTCGCTGGCACAGCTAGTATTGATATAAAACCATACAGACTGTATGTAGAGAAATATTGCCCGCTCAACAAGTTAAGAAGGAACTAACTGGACTGTTATTAATAAAACAAAATATTAAATTACTTTTTTAAACAATTTATTAAACATAGCATAGATTCAATTAGAAAAAAACAATTATAATTGTTTAAATTAATATTACAGGCATGTTAAAAACTTAAAGTAATTATAATATTTACTCATCTTTCAATTTATACCCCCATGTACTAAAAAAGTTGTTATAGATTTTTTTATAAACTTTTTATTTACAAATAGACATGGTTAGAGCTCTGACAAAATGTGCATAAATATTATACTAAATTCAAAACAACAGTGTGATCTCTATAACAAACTCAAATTAAGCTTTTTATCATTAGATTTACCATCATATATGGAATGAATAAATGAATGTGAGTTCGAATGTGATCTTCTCAATGGATAGTTTTACATAATGAGTATATTGACTGATAATCCCTGAGATAAATAAATTTTATCTGAATTTTATTTCCATTAAAAAGAAACACATGCTTTTAATTAATTGTTGTAGCTCCAAGCTTTCCATTAAAAATACTTTAGGTAAAGCCATTTTATCACGTAAGAAATAATTTTATAATGATTACAGTGCCTTGCATCAAAGTATTACTCATAAATATATCCTAAACATTCTTTACTGAAAGCTTATTACAATGTTATTATTTAGCGTGTGCTGCGCTGGGCACTTGTGGTAAACCAAACTCGTCAACAGGCACACCATCCTTATTCCTGATGCTGTCCGCTCCGGGTTCCTTGTCAGGTGCAGCCGGAGCCTTAACTACATCGTCAAGGTATGATGTGTCATCGTCTAGTGCGATTTCATCACCTGGAAATCAAGGTTTGAGGGGATAAAGAAATAGTTGGGTATCAGTAAGGTGACCTGTCATTCAACTTTTAATTGGTATTCTCAACAGAAAAAATAATAAGCATGTTCTAAATATAATTCTTGGGGAGCTCAACAGTACCACTCAGCAATTGTGTTCAGTTGTAAAAAAGATCTACTTTATTTATGTGTATGTATTATAGATTCAATCTAGACACACATTAATCTGGCACATGAGTGCTGGCTTTAAAAATTGTATCCCCTGAATCGATGAGAGATTTACTACTGATAAAAATTCAAATAGCATTTGATAATGTTGACTGCTCTCAGATCTAAATATAACTTTCTTTCCTAATTATCTTACCTAGAGCATCTAATTCTGCAGCAAGCTCATCATCATCAATTTCTGGCATTCCATACTGTCTACCTAATGCTTCTTGGACTTCATCTGCTTGTTCTAGCATATCGGCTAATTCATCATTAACATCCTGCAATCAAACCATTATTAGTTTATTGATAAATATTTTATAACACCCATTTCATATCTACTCGTAGTAAACAATTATAATACTAACATCAATAGAATCAATATTAATCTTTTTAAATTCCTTTTTCATAGACTGAACCCCATCTTTCATGGCTGTAATAGTAGTATGAGTATCTTTTAATGTCTGGGTTGCATAGTTCGCTTGTTCCATATTAAATGACTGTGCTCGCAGATTCTCAATTTGTTGCTCATACCTATAAAAATGCATAATGTGTAAGAATAAATGTCTCTGTCCATATAAATGCTAATTTTTGTCTTATAGTTTGTCTATAACTTACATTTTTTTCTGCTTTAAAACCCGCATAGCTTTCTGCTTTACAGAATTCTTTGCCGGACCCTCCCTCATCTTTGCCATTTGGTCTTTATATTTCCTCAATTCGGCTTCTAATTTATTCACTTTCTGCTCTATATTGTCGGCCCGGCTATCCACCTAGAATTAGAAATTTTGTTAGTTCTAATTGTGATTTTTCCTTTCACAAATAACAATATACTCACAGTACTGATGCAATCCGATATGCTTGGGCCTGGTGTTTTAGGCTTGCCTCTTCCAAATATCCTGTTCATGATTGTGGATATTAATATACAGGATTCAAGATCAATGACACACAAATACGTTTTAAAGGTTCTTAACAAAAAACTTAATATTATTTAGATCCCAGTCTGAGTCACAACAATTATGACAATTAACAATAAAATATAGGTTTTTTGTAACTGTCAATTTTCAAAATTGACATTGTTATACAAACACTGTCAAATTAGCATCTGTCAACATCAACATTTTTATTTAATCGCTTTTCCTGTGTAATTAAGAATTATTTTAATTGTACAAAACATTAAATATGAACTGTTGTAAGTAATAATAACTACAAATTTGAGATTATAATTTTACATTATGGCAATTATCGCAAACTATCAGGCGTAGTTAAATTACTTTCATTATTTATGATAAATATGAAGTATTTTGGCATTCAAGGTTATCAATAATTATCATTAGTTTGATTTCACATATATCTTCAAAGTCAGAGAGGTCTCGGAACATATAATTTACAATAAATACTTAAAAATGACCACCAACGGAATTATTCGTAATGTAAGTATAGTAATTTTAATATTTTACTGGATATTTCATATAAACCTCAACTACTGTTCTGTTCATCTGTTCAAATACTTGTATGTAAAAATCCATTATGAAATGTACCCTAAATTGTGAGGTTTCATATGCTCTACAACTTATAAGAAAAGTAAATAATCACAATTATTTCTAATCTGTGATAGCTAAAATATTAAGTATTTGTTTGATCATTCCTCTTTTTTAAGATTCTGCAAATTTTTTTTATTCATTTACTTAAATATTTTTAACAGCATTTTCCATGTACTCCAGTTTGCAACATTGTTAAATGTTGGCAATGGGATATTTCACCATTTATTGATAATTTGAAGCAGAGAAGTTCTAAGTATGGGGTTGTCATATTAAATCGTCCTATAACACAAAAACAGGAATTCATTAAGACACTATGGAACAATGGTAAGCATTTTATTGATTTTCTTAATTGAAGTGTTTTATCTCTTAAATTTGTTGTATACTCTCCAGCAGAAATCATAATAATTTTTTACTCATGGTAACTAACAAGGGACAAGAAAAGATCCCAAGGTTGGTGATTGCTTATATTTCACAAGTTTCACATCTTTTTCATGTACTTTAATAAGAGCTTTAAAAACTATAATTAACTATATACTCAGAGCAACAAATTCCTTATTCCACTGACTTGCAATATAGATTTGCCAGAATATACCTTGTAAATAGAAATGATGTATTTTTAGCGACATTCAGAATTACTGTAGATGGAGGTACAACACATTGGAACAAGTTCATAAATAGCCTTACCTTAGAAGACAAGAAGACTATCCGTCTACCTGATCTAATAACTGGAGACTTTGACTCAATAACAAAAGATCTTCTTCAGGAGTATAAAAAGAAAGGTTGTAAGGTGAACTTGAATAAAGCTTAGGCTATGAAATGAATAAAACAGATGTTTGCAACTTAATTAATTTGTAGATAACAAAATAGATATTAGAGATAGATATGAGGCTCCTAGTGGCAGAGTGGTCTAATAACAAAAGACATGATTTTCAATAAGGAGAAAAATAAAAATGCGCAATTAATTTAGTCAAAAATAAATTTGTCCTATTATTTGTATTAAAATTATATTAATGATTTTCAATCACTGTTCTCTTGTACCATAACATTTTTAGCCAATAAAAATAAGTAAGTCATAAAATTGCAGTTAGGTTACTCTGGCTCTAGCCACCTTATATAGGCCTTGTAAATGAATCTATAAATGTTTTTACAGGCTTTGCATACACCTGATCAGAATGACACTGACTTTACAAAAGCATTGATAGAATTACAAAATTTGTGCAGGCAACAAGAAAAAGAGGTATATTAATAATTTTAAGAAATTATATTTTTTAAGTTTAACATACTCCAAAGAGCACCATTTATTCTTAAAATAAGTTAAAAACCATATTGATATTACAATGATTGTTCCAGTTGGATCATATTGTTACATTAGGACAAAATTCTGGGCGCATAGACCAAATTTTGGGTAACATACAAACACTGTTCCTAGTTAGGGAAAGGGAAATTCTAAACCCCAACACAAACGTCTATATTGTGTCAGATGATACAATATCCTGGCTGCTTTTACCTGGAGATCATGTTATATGCGTGCCGGAGGAGACCAGGAAACATAGCAGGTCATGGTGTTCATTGGTGCCAATAGGAGAAAGTTGTGATGCGGTAACAACGAGTGGATTAAAGTGGAACCTAGGTAAGGGGCATCGTTTGTAATTTGTATAATAACCATTATAGCTGCCATGCATGAAACATCATCTAACGATTGTTCTTTTCAGATAATCAACCTTTGAAGTTTGGACTACTCGTTAGCACATCAAACACATTTGATGGGTCTGAATTAGTCAAAATAAAATGCAGTCATTCTTTACTGTGGTCTATGAAAGTGCCAAGTCTCACACATAACAAACAACATACGGATAAATAAATGTTTTTATTTGAAAAAATGTGCTATGAAAGTGCCAAGTCTCACACATAACAAACAACATACGGATAAATAAATTTTTTATTTGAAAAAATGTGCTAAGAGCTTCTTACCTAGTGACATATTACTAAAAAGGAAATGTACAGACTACCTAGAAATTTTGTAGACTTAGAATAATTTTTTGATTGTTGAAAAACTGTGAAAAACTAAAAAAACATAAGATTAGCCTCATGACATGTAAAAAGGCCAAACTATATAATATCTATCGTAGTAAATTACTTAAAATAGTGTATAATTCCATTTTTAACCATAGTATGAGTTTCTTATAAAGACACATGAAATGAAAAAAATATGCCTAGAATACATGAAGCGGTTTTTGTGTAATTAGTACTTAAACCTTAGTAACAAATCTCCAATGGTATCTAAGCTACTGTGTGTGTGGTACTTACTCTGTAAAAATCGTTATCTGAGAAAACGTAATTTACATTGCGATCTTCAGTACGCATAATATTTTAGAAACATGTTGAAAAGATAGAAACAGTTCGCTACTTAATTTCCATATCTTTTATATTGTTGAGTAAAAGTAGTGTTGTGACGTATTAACAATTATGTACCGGTTTTTGGTTCTTTAGACTATTATATTTTGCATAATAAATACATTTTCAATGTAAATGCGCGTTTTATTTCTCCCTGTGATTACTTACATTACATTGAAGTACGTAATAAGAATCTGTTTACTCTTAATAAGTTATATATTGTAGGTATTTCAATTTATTTTTGTCAAAAATACATATTCATGCTTTCAGAATATGAATGAAGAGATGAGTCATGTTTGATAAGTAGTATACAATAGAACAAAAAGCAACATGAATTAATTGTACACATTGAGATTATAATGCAAAGTATCATCAATGTGAAATTATTTAAATGTGTGTGCGCACGGAGGTCGCCGCATCGCGCATGCGACTGTCAGTGCTGCCAACCGCGCGCGAGAAACTAAATCACGAGATACGTTAGATCTTTCTTATCATCAGCTGATAAATGTAAATACTCTTCTCACGATTATAACGTCACGTTTGGGACGAACCTAGAATAAATATTTCAAGAAAAATTATTTCATGACAAACAAGATACTTTAACCACCAAATTCTTTTTCTTATTGATTTCTAATTAAATAAAGCATACCTAGTTGCCGCATCCATGGCCTAATTGTCAAACCGCCTTAAGCCCGTTGCGTTAAACGTGAGACGTTTTCTTGGACGGATCGACTCCTGCGAAAACTTAATAAGTTATTGTAAAAAATGTGTCTAAAGTAGTTACGAGAAACGGGATTCATGGGAAACAATTTTTAATAGTTACAGCTTACGTGGAAACCCGTGCACCTAAATATTTTCTACGTCTATCTCTATGTAACTTTGATTGGTTAAATTAAATTATGTGCAAAATTTACTTTGTAATGTGTATTATATTTTTAAGGTTCATATATTGTATACATAAGAGTAGTGTTTAATACAAAAAAAACACAGTTTTTTTACGTCCGCTTTGTTTCTAACTATGAGAATGAATTCACGAAGTTAACTCGATCAAATTAACGTTAAATTACATCTCACGTCAAGAGTCACATGCGCAGAGGCACCAACATTACGAACTAGTCAGTTTGCCACTGCGCGGGAGTCGCGCCGAACGTGTACGATTTCTAGTAATCCGAAATACGTTTACTGGTACGTTAATTTTTGTTATTTTTAATTATTTTTAATAATCACAATAGTCTTATTTATTAACATTATTATCTTAGTTTTGTTATAAATACTATTTTTATTAGAATAATTGGAATTCATTACAAACTAATTATTACTACTAGTGTTTGCTGTTAAAGTAACTTGAATTCTTTCTGTGTATTTTGAGAACATTTTGTAGATTATTAGTTATCTGTTTTTTATTATGACTGTATCATAAAAAAAATTAAATTAAACTCAAATTATATTACTTTCCGGAAGTCATATTTGAAATTCTCCCTTCCTTAAAAATTCTTAATACTATTTAGAAAGATACGTTTAATTATTGTATATAAAAATAATTTGTTAAATATATTACTATTAAACCGCGGATTATTCCATAGGGTAGGGTATTGTGTATTTTGTATTTATATTTCCTAATTTTTAAACTTCGTTTTTTTCTTGAGGTTGTAACCACTTAGCGCCTTTGTCGTTGAATCGCTTAGATTACGCAATGTACAACTAAGCCTTATCTCAGAGTTCATACTAGCTAGTCAGGGCATATTTCCTGTTCTTAGTTTATGGTAAAGAAAGTAAATTTGTTAAAGAAGTGTTATTAGCGACCGCAATGCTTTATAAATCAAATGTTCACTTCACCTTTTTTCAAGATTGAAACAGTTTCTTTTTCCTTCCTTTAAAAAAATTGTCATTAAAAAACACTTTAACGGCTTAAAACTGCTGCAAAGCATCCAAAACGTCGGCCCGTAGTTCAAATTAATTTTAAAAGGGCTGCTGCAAAGCATCCTAAACGTCGGGCCGTAGTTAAAAATAATTTTCAAACAAGTATAACTAAAATACTTATATCGCGTTTTAAACCGTCAAAGTGATTTATTTAAATGCGTACTACTCGCGTAAACTACAGACGGTATTTAATGTCTATAACCTATTGTTTTTCAATTACACGATCCCAAAGTACAAAACACTAAACTGTATTTTAGTGAAATATGGGTACGGTCTATTTTATCACTGCAGCGTTAAGATCATACACTTATCTATGCAATATATCATGATCTCGTCAAGAATATTTCTAATTCGTCATAATATCTTATCTATGAATGACAGCAATTGGTATTAAAGATTTTTATTATAGAGTAATGCTTGATAACCCGATAACGATTTATATGAAGGAATGAATAAATTCATATAACCTATTCTGTAGGGGCAAAAAAAAATGAGCTTATACAACAGTTCTTATTACTACAGATACACTATGAGGTCGTTAATACATTTTAATATTAAAACACATCATTGTTCAAACCGTTCGTTGCCGTATGTTACGTACGTTAAAAAACCCTTTCTTTTTGTAAAATCCCGTTTCCCCTTGTGGGGCATAGGGCGAACACATTTCTGTGTCCGTTTCACTGATCGGTTTTATTTACAGGCAAGTAGTTGATCAGTCTTCTGTGCCCCGCCCCGACCGAAACAATTTACTGTTTCCCCGGGATTCCAACCCAGGACCTCTCGCGCTTAACGCAATGCTAGGCAATACGTTTAACCAATTAACTACAGGCGGTCATAAATAATCGTGCTTATTTATTATTACACTATTCAGAGATCTTATCATATTAATGCAGCCGTTAAAATAGGCCTTAAATGTATCAATGAATGGAAGAAGTTTGACGATTACGTGTACGGTAGCTCAATTGTTTGGAACAGCATCGCGTATCGCTGTGAATGCTGGTTCAAGTCCCTTCCGTGCACCTACATTTTCAACAATCTGAATAGATTTTTAACTTCTCCTTTTTACAAATGTAATATACCTGTAATTATACTATTAAAAGTTATTTTAGAGGATAGCCTCTAAAATATCTTTTAATAGTATAATTTATGAGTTACTACTAGTTACAATAAATTACATAACTCACTAGAATTTTAATAAACAGTTATCATCAGTTTATAAAATACAAGTCTATTTTTAGAAGTGAGCATCAAAAAAAGTTGTTTACTTACTAACGTAATGTACTCGTAATTTGTACGTCTTTAGTCATAATGTTGCAAATACGTTTCGAAACGCGTTTTGTTATCATTAGTACTTGCTATTTACTTATAGCACCTGCAAGGCTTATTGCTTAATGGGGCTAATAACTGTAGGTTAGGCTTGTTAACCATATGTAATTTATGGTGGAATTGACAATAGAACATATAGGGCATTGGTGATAGTGAAATGTTGTCAAAGTGATTTAAAACATGATCGAAACTTAAAATTATGATAACAAATAAGACTTCTACCCTTGTATAATACAAAAATAACTTGTTCTATTAGGTCATATAGCTAACACAATTTGACCAGCATGATAGTTCGAGCCGTCTGCGTATACATTTGTACATAATTATATGTCCTCTGGGAACCTTAACTTGTTGCTAATGTAGCGGGAAACCAATGCGAGTCAATTTCAAATCCAAACAATCTTGCGATAAAAATATAAGTGTGACTGGATTTATTTACATTTTTCTGTGCAAATAAGTATTTAGCGATAAGAGTGTGCACACTCCTGACATTCCATAGCAATGTCTGTTGCGTATACTAATAATATTGATGAAATGAATAAAATATCTAGGTTTGAATTGCGACAACAAGTGAAGTATTTTATCGGTATATTAACATCCGGTAATTTCAGACGCCTTCTAATTAAAACATAAAAGTATAAAAAAAAACATACTTTATTAAGTAGTGTTGAAATTTAAAACGTAAAGAGGCACAAAATGATATTTTTGTATTATTTCTGTTTTGTTTTGCTTTATCATAATTAAAACGTACATATGTCTTAAATAAAATATTTGTAACAGGTTTAAACAAGAACTATTTTAGTTAATTTTTAAGTATTACCAGACAGTTCGGATGCCTGTCAGCAGATGTGGTCCAGGATGCGACAGTGATAGACATCCATTCAAACATCCTTACCAACCGTTCAATATTACTTATTATAATTCTTATAGTCTAGTCAAATTAGGCTTTTTATTTTACAATAATTATCATAGAGCTATTATAAATGAATTGCATTAAGTCCCCATCGATCCCTCTTGTGCAATATTTTTTATTAATGATGAAAAAATCATCGTTGTCTTACATAGTTTTTGTTTGTCGTTTAAGGATAATATCTCTAGAATCACTCAGGTACAAATAGGAAGTATAAGTAGGAAGTGGCCTTGCTTGTGACCTTTTCGTGGACATTTATTTATAACAACATCCCATTCCCCTATATAATTATCTAATATATAAAGTTCTCGTGTCACAGTTTTCGTTTCCATACTCCTCCGAAACGGCTTGCCCGATTTTGATGATTTTTTTGTGTTTATCCGGTATCTATGAGAATCGGCCAACATCTATTTTTCATCTCCGTAAATGTTAGAGGTAGTCCACCCCTAAATTTTTTATTTTATTATTTAGACAAAAAAAAATTTATAATTTTTTTATGATACAACATACAAAAATAAATACAATCCTCAATTTTCACCCTTCTACGATCAACTCTTATTTTTTAATAGCCATTTTAGTAATTTTATCATTTTTTTCCCCTCCGCAAAACAACGTTTGCCGGGTCAGCTAGTTAGACTATACAATTGTGAAATACGTGTATCAAATTTCTGTATAACATTATAAATAAAGGCAATGGAAACTAACTAACTGGAAATTAACTAATATATCGCGTATTAAACAGTTAAAGTGTTTTATTTAAATGTGTATTACTCGCGTAAACTATAGACAGTATTCAATGGCAACTACTAAGATATTCAAATACACGCCTGCCTCATTAAAACCCTCAAATCAGTCAAAATAAGTTTCAAGTTCAATACCCATTACATAAACATTTTTGGCTGAGTAGCAGAGGTACAATGGCATTTGTTTAAAAATATTATGTTAAACTTCTTAGGAAAAAATAGTTCACCGTAACTTATTACATCTTGTACGTTAAATGAATTGATATGATAATAGCCCCATGTTTAACATTAGTCAGTTGAGCTCTTGACAGCTACACACAAATAAGCCCGACACGAAGTAAGTATGTGAAGTAATTTGCATTTCTCAAAAATAACACAATAATGGTAAAATATATTTTTGTTCTTCGTTAAGACTTCATCTTTAATTTGTTCCTGGACTATTTGATGTGTCTGTGGAAATAGTGAATTTAGGAATAGATTTTTTCAATAAAACACAACTACTTATTAATTTTTGTTTTTTTTACGTTCCCTAATATTATAATATAACATCATCAGAACAAACTATTAACACAAAAATACTATAAACTTTTTGCACAAATTTTCAATACAGATTCTTATTTTTGACCTAACAGATAGTATGTACAGGTGTTTGTATTAGTAGGTAGTAGGTAGTATAGATAGTTGTAATAACTTTTCTGCATTATTTGCGCAAGAGATTTGCAACTTATAATCACTTAATAACTACAGTAGAAAAAAATAACCCCCCTTAACATTCACGTCATTTTATAACATCCATAAGGACTTTTACAAATTGATCTATACTTTATCAAGTAAACTATCACCAGTAAGGTAGCAACTGAGTTTGTTTTATGTTCAATATTCATTTAGACGACGCCTTTTTGTCGGCTGCTTCCTATGTTTTTATTAAATGTGAATTGTTTGAAAAACTACCTCCTATCGGCACACTCCATTGTTATGAAGAAAGAATTACTGTTCCGAACAATAAACGTAATTGTGACGCGTGACTTAATTTGTTGGAAAAACATTGACCTTTTGCGGGGTCGATTGGCTTGGGAGACAAAAAAGTAGCCATGAATGAAAGCACTCACAGTTCTATTTTACATAATATCTCTTAGATATTTTATATAAGCCAACACGACATTTTATTGCGACTAATATATTTTTAAAAGCATCAAAAACACTGTCATAATATTTAAAAAAAAATTGTAAATTTCCAAAAATATTTGTAATAAAGGCTTATTATTATTTTATATAAGCGGCGAAGAAGACTCATCTTTATTAGACTAGTTACCCATAAAACGCGCTTGGGAGGTCCTGGAGTATGTTACAGTCGTGTCAGCGCCTGTAACATACTGTTATGTCTGCGTAAAAGTTTTTTTGTTATTGCAAACCTCCTCATATATTTTATAAATTTAGACTGTTACCCACGACATCGGTCGCATCACGTTGCTCGCAGCCCATCATTCGGGTCCCATCGTTATTGCAAGTTAACTTAAAGATAGTCACATAGTGTCGCTGACATATTTTTTATTATTTAAAGAGGAATCATTCTTTCATACATATTTTTGCGTGTCTTGAACAATTATCGCAGCGTACGCATCGCAAACCCACAGACATGAATAAGTTCCCCTGTTTTTTTTTCTGTTTTTATACTTTTCTTTCTCGATAAATGTTCTAACCAATACAAAAAAAAACTTTTGAATTCCCACCAGTAGTTCATCAGATTACCGCGTCCAAACAAACAAAAAAACTCTTCAGCTTTATATATTAGTACAGATTAGTTTCATCTAATTATTTGTGTTCTATACACAGAAACGTAGGTATATATTATTTTACCTTAAAGCGGCCCTGCTTGCTGAATGAAACATTCAAGGTGTATTTTGTACTTGGCAGTTCCACGTAATGAATTGCGATTCAATGTTTCTGCAGACATCTTACAGGTGCTAGAATTCGAGGCCAGGGTAATTGCTCTGAATCGGCACTTAATAGGAATTCGCTTTTCGATTGGTTTTATGTTACGTCGGTTCAGAAATTATATTTTATTGAGGTCAAAAGATCATATTAGGTTTCAAATCAACTAAATCAAATCAAATTGTAATGGAGAATATATGATAATATAGAATGGCGAAATATTTTTACAACCTGGCTATGAAATACTGTCTATAGTTTACGCGAGTAGTACGCATTTAAATAAAACACTTTAACGGTTTAAAACGCGATACATTACATCGAAACGTCGGGCCGAAGTTAAAAATAATTTTCAATTAAGTTAAAAATAAGTTTAACTAATGTATCGCGTTTAAACCGTTAAAGTGTTTTATTTAAACCTGGCAATGGTTTTCTCGCCGGTGCCTTAATTCGCGCGAACGCTGATGCGTCTAGCGACCGAAAATATGTATATGTAGTTATGTATGTAGTAATAATTAGAACGAATAATTATTTTGCTAATAGATGTATGTACAACGACCGGCAATTCGAACAGCGAACTAAAATCCTTGGGTTGCCTGGAAGAGATCGCTCGTTAGCGATAAGGCCGCCCATTGTACTCCATATGTTTAGTATATAATTTTATATTTTTGTTAATTTTTTTGTGCAATAAAGTGTAAATAAATAAATAAAATCAAAACTATGAATCTGAAAGACCGGCGACTTTGTCTAGTCGCACAATTGGTCGTTTGACCTTTCATGTCGTTCACACTGTTATAGAATGAAAATATTCATCCCTTTTTATCATTGATATTCACGAATGTTTATTTATTATAGATAGAAGAGGGACAATATAACCCACCAGCATGGGGGCGATGTTCCGAAGTGAGGAGATGGCGCTATGCCAGCTCTTCATACAGCCTGAGGCGGCCTACACCTCGGTTTCTGAGCTTGGCGAAGCAGGAACTGTGCAATTTAGAGACGTGAGTATTCAGTAATTTTCCCTTTCTTTTTGTTCATCTCATTAATTAAACAAAGAAAACCTGGATGTTAAGTACGTGAAATATAGTAGAGATGGATAGTACTCGATTGATTCTCGGTACTCAGCGGGTTTTTTGATATTCTTACTAGGCCGATTAACTCGGTTATACTTTGTTATTTGAGAACGACTATGCTTTGTTTAATCAATATATTTAGGAAAATATAATTTAAGCAACAGTGTTAATACAAAAGTATTTTTTATTTAAAATTAAAATTATTCTAATTAATGAGACAAAATTACGAAAAGATGAAAGCGAATCGACATCTCGAATGGCGCGAACCTGTTTGTACTTGTTTACGCGCGAAATTTGATTTTCATTGAACCGAGTTACTCGGCCGAGTAGGTACTCGGTACTCGTTACTCGGCGCATCTCTAAAATATAGGATATCAACAAACACCGTCCATAGATTGGCGGCTTGAAGTAATATCTGAATTTCATTATCAACAACACACCCTGTTTGAATATGTTTGAGTTATTCCATCTTCCATCAAGAAAACCCCTCGCTTGCCTATCGTTCTCTGTCATAAAAATATATCTCTCACATTTAGGGCATGAGGTGTACACATAGATACATTTTCATTAACCTTAAAAAGGACGGCATCCTCAAATGTACAGCATACGTTGGTAATATACGTTCTTGAGTTATTAAGTAGCAATTGACATATAAATATCGGTGTGGTAACCTCGTAAATTGATCCTAGACAATTATAAGACTTGTGTTTATAAATCTCTTTACTTATATCTATTTTATTTATCTATCAAGAGGTGAAATCCCGTTTCCCCCGTAGAACATGGGGCGAACATATTTCTGTGTCCGTTTCACTGGTCTTCTGCGCCCTATATCTATAAAACACTTCTTATATTCAGCGTTGTAATAACTATGGTTAAACTAATTACCCCTTAATTATTTAGATGTTGTCTTCTTCAGAGTTTGGAACATGTTTTGTATTTTTTATAGAGAACAGAAAACTTTAAAAATAATTTTTAAACAACGCAAATATAATATCTTGTGTGCGTGTGTTCAAAACAAATAGCCATAAAAACTAAGTATGGAGTTATAGTATCTAACATACCATCATAACGACCGCTTAAAAAGTGGTATTGTTCTATTTATTGTAACCCTTATATGGTTCAATGAGACATTTGTCGACATATACTTATATTATTGTGTTTCTTTTCAAATTAAGATACATCTGTTTTATAGGGGTTAAATTTTTGTTAGATCCCAGGAAGTTGAATTTTATGTTTCTATTGTTGCTGTTACAATTAGTACTAAAAGTATAAAAAAATATACATATAGGTAAGGAGGGCATGAAATTTGCAGACGGCATGAAATTAAACGCTATCGTTTGTCAAAATTATCCTATCATTAATAATTAATATAACAGACAACCTCAGCAAATGCACAAGTTATTCATTTTTAAACGGTTTAAAACGCGCAATATTTTAGTTTGCTTTTATTTATATAATTAACACCCGACGCGATGTTTCGAACGCTTCGCACCCGTGGTAACGGTGGGATTTTTTTATGCACGTATAGAAATATAATTAACTATTTGATTGACTTTCGTGTTTTATATAAATATATACTACTTAGATGCGTTAATTACTGACAATACTCGATATCGTTTGTAAGATAAATTTATCGGTTTGTCAATTAAAATGTATTTTGTGGCCACACATCATGTTACCTCATCGAAGCCCATTAATTTGCCTTGTCATTTTACCTTCATTGCTTAAACCCGTTTATAGAGAAAGGTAAGCAAGATCAGCGATGCTAATTCGGTGTTATATCCGAGGCCAACATCACAACCGCGTATGGTAGTCGAGCTTGTGTGCAATTTCGGATAAAAAGTGAAACGCGCTAAGCGTTTGCTTCATTAAAATAATGCAAGCTGCAAATAAGAGGCTTTATCTTGAATGGTGGTCAATCCTTCGCCCTCATATGTGAATTAAAAAAACATTGATTTTGTAATAATAATCATGACTGACTGAAGAATGTTATATGTTAATATATATTAAATCTCTGTTTTTTTTTAAATAATTGTAATATAATTCTTTTTCAGTTTTTATTTCTCACAATAATAATTCATATTCTAGATATTTCGTTTTGCAAAAGAGTTCGTTCTCATTTTATCTTTTATCATGAGCGAAAAAGCATATAAAAGCAAAATATAAAATTCATGAGTAAGTCTATTTGATAAGCATTCGCGGATGTAATAACATTTTAACACACATTAATGTATGATAATAAGAAATTGAAGTATTTTTTCACACACACACATGATGGCATAATGTAAATTCAAAATCGATTTGGGTTGACAAAAATAAACGACAGGGCAGTCCTTGAACCTATTGATAGATGCACCTCTTGCGCAATGTAATAAGGTAGCTCATTGTCTTGTGTCTTTCAATGGAGGTAGATATTTTAATAAAACAAAATTCGCTTTTTTTAATATTGGGGAAGGCAGACGAAAGAAATGCATCTAACAGATGTGTTGTGACTATTTTGTTTGGACATTCAGAAATCCACAGAGTAAAACCGAAACGTGATTAAAGGTGACGGTTTTTTTCGAATTGCGATATTCCAGCCACCACGAATTTAATATCCAGATTTCCAGACGAAGTCCAACATGTTTGAGAAAATGGAAAATGATTAGAAAAATTTATATAAAACACTTTAACGGTTAACTTATTTGAAAATGTCTCCCCGTGACCACGGCTGTGCAAAGCATCCGAAACGTCGGGCCGAAGTTAAAAATCATTTTCAAATAAGTTTAACTAATATATTTTTAAACCATTAAGTGTTTTATTTAAATGTGTACTACTCGCGTAAACTAAGAAGTATTTGATTAGAAAAATGTTAAATGTGGGATCAATCACCACCCGTTGATTATTAGGCGTACATTGTAGATTAACTAGAGCCCGTAAAGATGTTAAAAGTTTTATTAATATAGTGTTGGTTTGATGAATATTTTACAAATTAGCTGTTTAGAGTGGGCCCTGTGCTCTTAATGTTAATCTTAAAATATAGACATATTATAGGTATAGTAGTGGTGGGTTGTTTTAGCTGAACCCATAATGATGAATCATTGCATTTTTTCACTTTCTCGTATTGCGTTGTCGATAGCAAATAGCCTTCCTCGATAAATGTTCTAACCAACACAACAATCATTTTTCAATTCGAACCCGTAGTTCCCAAGATTAGTAAGTTCATTATATATTAGTATAAAAGAAGAAGGTATAATTATTTTATAAAATAATAATTTAGATAAATATTAAACATTTATACATTTTCGCAGTTGAACCCCGACGTAAATGCGTTTCAACGTAAGTTTGTCAACGAAGTCCGTCGTTGCGATGAAATGGAAAGGAAGCTCCGTTACATCGAGGCAGAGGTTCACAAAGACAAGGTTCACATCCCAGCCGTGAAAGATATGCCCAGGGCGCCCAACCCCAGGGAGATTATTGACCTTGAGGTAAGTGGAGACCATCTTTATGTTTAGAGCAACAGCATGTAACGCTGTGGATGCCACTGGCATGCCCATGTCGTAGATTTTTTAAATTTATCGATTAATCGATTTTAAATTTAAGTTGATAGCTATTTTATAGAACCACAATTGATTAACCGTTTGTGTAATAAATAATAAGAGAGCGTAAACCGTATTTTTAACATGAATTTTCAATGTGAACATCATGCATTTGTTGTAATATTCTCTCGCTTTCTTTGATGTCAAAAATAGAATGGATGGTCAATTGGTAAGAACAGCAACACTGAACCCTGTAGATGGCGGGTCAAGTTCCGCCCCTGTCTCAAATGTTGTCAATCTAAAAAAGGGTTTTCAATTGAGGGATTGGTTACACATATTTATTGTTTATAAAATTATTATCACAATCAGCGCTTAACATAGCGCTAGGGTGAAAAGCCATAGTGATAAAGCTACACATATGTATAGATTGACAAAATCAGGAATCATTTCGGCCATAGTCAAATAAAATGTCTTTTTTGTAGGCCCATTTAGAAAAGACAGAAAATGAAATTTTGGAGCTGTCCCACAACGCCATCAACCTAAAACAGAACTACCTTGAGTTGACGGAACTAAGACACGTCTTGGAGAAAACCGAGGCATTCTTTTTGGCTCAAGAAGAAATTGGCATCGACTCCTTAACAAAGTAAGTTCACAGCACCAGCTAGCAGGGTTATTTTTATTAGTTATGTTACTCTCAAACACCAAGAGCGGAATATAATCATTTTTACTGGTTTCACTTAAATCACAAAAACTAAATAAACCTGCTTTCTAATTACTAAATAACACACATAATTCAGCGTTTATTTAAAAGGCAAGTCTCCTTTTGAGTAAGTCGAATTTTGATAAATGAGGCGTATACGAGGTTTTATACAGTTTTAGATTTATAGAAGACTTTATTTAAAAATTTAAAAAATTACGTATACATATACGCGGGTGGCTTAAATAATAATAATTTACATACGGTTTTGTTACTATCAACTTGACATCTCATCTCAGTATTCCTCTAACATTATTTTTAACGACAAGATTAAAATAGTTTATAAGTTTTATGTTATAGAGTATGTGAAAAATATTTATAGGTCCCTAATATCGGACGAAACTGGCCAGCAAGCAGCGAACCGCGGCCGACTCGGCTTCGTAGCTGGAGTGGTTCAGCGTGAGAGGGTTCCGGCGTTCGAACGGATGTTATGGCGTATTTCGCGTGGAAATGTGTTTTTGCGTCGTGCTGAACTCGACAAACCACTCGAAGATCCTACATCTGTAAGTCCTTATTTTTAGTATGCACTTTGACTATACGAGTAGATAGATGCATACCCTGAACCCAAATGGTATGTTCACAGTAGGAGTATCAGCAATAAAAGTCATTTACAATAAAATAGCATGGACTTACCTTTAGGCACCATAGCCATCTTTGGTTTCTGTTATTAAAGAGATCCTACATGCATTAAGTTTGATTAAAATTTTTCTCACTTCATCTCTAATTCTTACATAATTTTACCAGGGCAATGAAATCTACAAGACCGTGTTCGTCGCGTTCTTCCAAGGTGAACAGCTTAAGTCTCGCATCAAGAAGGTGTGCACCGGTTTCCATGCTTCCTTGTACCCGTGCCCACCATCCAACACAGAGAGACAAGACATGGTCAAGGGTGTTAGGACCCGACTTGAAGATCTTAACATGGTATGTTGTGTTTTTCAGTTCTTTTTGTTTATTCTACGCCTATTATTATTATAAAATTGGTACATATACATTTTAGGTGCTAAACCAAACCCGGGACCACAGACAACGTGTTCTTGTTAGTGTAGCCAAGGAGTTGCAGAGCTGGGCCATCATGGTGCGCAAGATGAAGGCGATCTATCACACCCTGAACTTGTTCAACATGGACGTGACACAGAAATGTCTTATTGGGGAGTGCTGGGTCCCAACCGCGGATTTGCCGAACGTCCAGAAAGCTCTCGCTGATGGCTCGGTATGTCATCGTTATGACAATTATTTTCCTAGACTATAAAGAATAACAACAATAAATAACTCAACATAACTGCTTTATTCAAAGTAAAATATTTAGTTCAAGTGAACAGAAAATGATTTGAACTGATTTAACTGAAAAAAAACTAACTAAACTTTTAAAATATAACTATAACCTATTTACCTGTTCACACAAAAATGCGGGTACAACTTCTTCAAAAAGAAAAATTGTGAACTTATATTTTTGTATACCTAGTAGGATTCTCTGATCATTTTTCTCTTAAATAATATATCGTTTGAACCGAATACTCCTAGAAAGTCCCTTCCGAATCCGACTGCTCTTCATTCAAAACACGACAACTGTGTCGTTTTTTGGTAAAATATAGACTGCATTTTAAATTCATAATACCGATTTAGTTATTATTAGAATTTCAATGTAAATTCTAGTGTTTAGAATCCTTATCATAATAATACTTATTGATGTTTAAAGTGAAACGTAGAAGAACCCGTAGATAAGGTAGTTGGGTATTTTGATAGAGAATATGTAATATGAAGGTCTAAATTGTACACAGAACGCATGTGGCAGCTCCATCCCGTCCTTCTTGAATTGTATCGAAACAGACGAAGTGCCGCCGACATTCAACCGTACGAACCGCTTCACACGAGGTTTCCAGACCCTTATTGATGCTTACGGAGTCGCCTCATACAGGGAATGCAACCCAGGTAAATATATATATGCACGTGGCATTATTTTTCTATGAGGCATCCAAAAAAAGGGTCGGCAGTCCATCTTGTTTAGATGTTATATGGCTGGGGTAGTTCACCTACCATCAAGTAAACCACATGCTTGTCTGTCGTCCTCTATTATAGCGCTATATCTATCAGCTGTTATACGTAACCTGAAATCTTTTAATCTCCAAATGACATGCCAAGACTTTACTTATAATTAAATTTTCTTCTTTCCAGCGCTGTACACCATTATAACCTTCCCCTTCTTATTCGCGGTGATGTTCGGAGATTTGGGTCACGGCAGTATCATGGCCATGTTTGGTCTATGGATGGTCGTCAAAGAGGTCTCTCTTGGCGCTAAGAAATCTACTAACGAAATCTGGAATATTTTCTTCGCTGGTCGCTACATTATTTTACTTATGGGTCTATTCTCTATGTACACCGGGATTGTCTATAACGATATCTTCTCAAAGTCTATGAACATCTTTGGATCAGCGTGGTACATTCCTTACAATAGCACCACTTTGGAACATAACCAGGCACTGACTCTGGACCCTAAAGAATCTTACGTCAACGCTCCATACTTCATCGGTATTGATCCGATATGGCAGGTTTGTTTTCAAATATTATAATTGGTAATTATTTTTTTATTAAAACAAAACTTTTATAACATTAAAGATAGTTTTAATTTAACTTATATAATATTTAATGATTGTAATGGGTATCAATAAATCTACAGTTAATATTTAAAATGTGTAATAAAACAATGTTTTCAGACTGCTGACAACAAAATTATTTTCTTGAACTCCTACAAAATGAAGCTTTCAATTATCTTCGGTGTTGTCCACATGATCTTCGGTGTCTGCATGAGTGTCGTTAACTATAAGTAAGTATTAATGATTCTTTGCTTATTCTTATTCCAACAGTCCGAAATTCAAAGTAAGTATTCAGTTCGGGCTCTAATTATTTGATCCCATTTGATTTTAACTGGACATAATGGCGAGAACGCCTCGTGATCGAAATTTTTACTATCACCATACGCTCTGTAACAATTAATGCAGACAGGTGGTTTCCTCTGCTGCCAGTTACGACACTGCAGTTTGTGATGTCCGTCTTTCGCACAATGTCTGCAGATAGTAGCTTCCCTGTCACATGACTTATACGTGTGATTAAACATTAAGCATTTTGAACATTGCGTTAAAGGTGTAAAATCACCTACAACATATTTTCTTACGTCCACATGGACAGCACCTTTTTCAACAAGTCTTTTATGAAGCACGGGGTCCACATCGAATACAAACTGTTTTTGGAGACCATTACCTTCCTTCTTTAGGTATTTAAAAACAAAGTTTTCTTGCGAAAAATCTTTAAAAATATCTTTATTTTGGGACCACAGATAGTCTAAAATATCTCGTAGCGATAATGTCTCATCTACATCATAGATAATTACACACGGATTGCCTTTTTTCTCCTTTATTGTTAGATATTTATTGGTATTCAAGAGCGATTTGACTACAGCTAATTCTTCTGATGTACATGTTAATAATGCCTTATGTTCATCAAATAATTTAAGATTTTCTACTTTAACGCCTGACTTTTTAATATCTAAGCTTTTTTTGATGCTTTCTATCAAATCGTCTCCCCAGATACTTAAATTTGTGGTCGAAATAACGAGTTGTTCGTCTATTTTCCAAATGTCTTGTGAAGAAGTTGAATCCAAATCAACAGAGCGCTTCGTGCTAGATGTATCGCTATTGCTGCGAGTAATTTTGTAAAAATTGTCTTCGCTATCACGTCTTGTATAATCTGCATAGGATATAAGTTTCCTTTTCTGTGGAGGATGATCATGTACTGGGGATGGCGTTCTGTTTCGTTTCGAATTATGTTGGTCAGGCGGGGAGGCTAATGCTCTGCTACGACTAGAATTACCCACTTTTCTACCGGAATATGTGGGTTCATCGGGAATAACATTTTTTTTTACTGTGTTGTCTTCAAACACTGAAGCTTTAGTAGCATGTGGCTGATCTTCAGGCGTGCAAGAAACCTTTTTTGATCCGTGTTGTTTTTTAGAAGGAGACTTAGTATCTCGTTTTTTATTTTGGCTCTTTTTTGTTGCACTTGCAGAACTTTTGTCTACGTTTGTTGGAACGGGGAGTGTTTCCTTTTCTTCACTTTTAGGCACTTCTGAGCTAGAACTTTCTGTAAAAATATAAATTATAATCAACGAGGTTGATAAAAGACAGACAGAATTTTCAAATAAAATCAGAGTATCATAGAATTATTATTATAATGTTTAAGGCTACCCAATATATATATTATGTAGTATTTCATTTAATCTGATCAAATGTACCTTTTGAATATGTTTTTTTTGCAAATGTGATACGAGGTTTTGCATTACAACAAGTATTACTCAAAATAAACAAATAATACTTACTGTCTAAATTCGTCAATTTGGGATCTAAATGCATCTTTAACCAATTGTCGACTTGTTCGTAATCATCTGCAAAAATTACCCATAAGTACAAAGATCTATAAATACGCCATCTACATCTAGTGTCTGAACCTTCTCAACCGCACACGTATCCATATTGACAATATATACATTATAATGGCCCAGAGTCGTTGAAGTATAAAACAAACACTTACCAGTTGTAAATTCTTTAGTCGCCTTATACTCGTAAAAGGACAAGTTTTCGCAGAGATCCTTGTTACGAATATGCTGCGAGGTAAGTACAGGATGCAACCGCGGATATTTTATTATGACGCCGTTTTCTTGTTCCGGCCAGTCTTTGACGATCCATGATGAGGGCACACATATATAATTTCTATGATTTATTATAGGCAGATAGAATTTTACTACACTGTAAAATGGCATATCTAAGTACTCGTTTTCAAGGCGCTGTGAACAATAACTCTCGATACATTTGCAATCGATAAGTTTAATCTATTTATCATTTTAGATAAAACTCGTTTATCACTTATGAACATGTCCGTCTACAATAAAAATAAATTTACCGTAAATGTTTAGAACGTACCGTTATGTTAAGCCAAAACCTTGTCTAATCATTCCATTAAGTGTCACCTTATAAGCTCTTATCGTTTACCGGGTTCTAATTTAAGAAAATTCTTAATAAGATGGAAAAAGGTCTAAGGATATAACATTTATATAAAAAAAACTATGAACACAATAAAACCAAGAGTAACGTTTCGTAATATGGGCAACGTAATTTCCTATATTACAATTTCCTTAAAGATGGGCACACTTAAATCTCTCATATATTTCGTATATTATGTCAATATTTTGTACAACGTAAACATAGTAGTTTATAGCCTGTACGAAGAACAGTTTAATAATTCGAATTTGTTCTTCAACAGCTTCTTCAAGCGTCGTTACTCAATCATTCTGGAGTTTTTACCTCAAGTTGTGTTCCTGTGTCTACTCTTCTTGTACATGGTGTTTATGATGTTTTACAAGTGGCTTGCATACAGTACATTTTATGATGGTTTGTGAAATCTCCATTTTGTATTACAATCCAAAGTATATATACGTTTAACTGTTATTTTCAATCTACTTAGTTGCTAGATACTATGTAGCTTCTAGTTAGTTATACTACTCATTACTGCTCTATACTACTGGCATAACTTAAATTGAGAAAAATATCATCCATAAGTTTTATTGGAATTTATTGATATTACTTCTTTTGAGAATTTAATATGAATATTATATAGTCAATTATTGTTTTATTCAATTTCTTTTCTGTAGTTAGGGGTTAACAATAATAAGAGTTTCCACTCCTTTATAGATTTCGCGTATTCGCAAGGCTGCGCTCCCTCTGTACTTATCCTCTTCATCAACATGATGTTGTTCTCGAGCAATGTCCCAGAAGCAGGGTGCAAGGAGTTCATGTTTGATGGACAAGGTTTAGTCCAGCGCGTCTTTGTACTGGTCTCCCTTGCGTGCATCCCCGTTATGTTACTTGGCAAGCCCCTGTACTTGTTGGCTACTAAGGATAAGAAACACGATAAGGTAAGAAATTTCTCATTATTCAAAGTCGGAATTTAAGACTAAGATTGGCTAGACATACACATTTAAATAAATAATTTTAACGGTTTTATTTAACTTATTTACAAATTATTTTTACCGCGGTCCCGTTCTAACTAGTGGTCTCACTGTGACCACGACTGCTGCAAAGTATCCGAAACGTCGGGCTGTAATTAAAATTATTTTTAAATAAGTTTAACTAATATATTTCGTGTTTTAAACCGTTGTAGTGTTTTATTAAAATGAGCTACTTGCATAAACTACAGATAGTAGTTTGATATACCTACACAGTTAAGTATGAAATCTCTTATATTAGGCTTACGGAACACACATTAATGTATCAATTTCACTGCGACCATATTAACGGAAAAGTTGTTACTCCTGTGACTTGCCCGATAGAAACTATTTCGTTCGATCGGAATTTGAACTCAGGACTTCTTACATTTATACCACTATAGACATTACTTACATTGCCAATACTTATAGAAGTAACTTTGTGCATTTTAAATAACTTCTTAAATCTTCATTTACTTGTACAGCCAGAACAATCAAATGGCAATGTGAACCAAGGAATCGAAATGCAAGAACAGCAAACAGACATAACTGAAGCAGCCCCAGCCAAGAAGGCCGAGTCCCACGACCACGAAGAGGAGGAATTCAGCGAGGTCATGATCCACCAAGCCATCCACACCATTGAATACGTGCTCAGTACAATCTCACACACCGCTTCTTATTTGCGGCTGTGGGCTTTGTCCCTGGCTCACGCGGGTAAGTCTTCGAGAATAATTTACTAATAAAACAAAACACTGTTGATAAAAGAAGAAATGTTTTGTTTTTATATAGGGCAGCAGAACAATAGATTTATCCAAATATTTTTTTAATAATTGATTCTACCCAAAGATTCAAAATTCAAAATTTCTTTTCATAATACTAACCAAGTAACATACCCACCAAGTATAAATTAAATAGTACATAATATTCTCAAGAATATCTTTCGGTTGCAGAGTTGTCCGAAGTATTGTGGAACATGGTGTTAGCTATGGGTTTGAAGACAGACGGCTATATAGGCGCCCTCAAGTTGTATGTCGCCTTCTGCTTCTGGGCACTTTTCACTCTGGCCATCTTGGTCATGATGGAGGGTCTCTCTGCTTTCTTGCATACACTGCGTTTACACTGGTATGATATTAACATATTCAAAACAATCTAAAGGTTTTTAATGATAGAGGAAGACAAACAAGCCTGGGGTTCATTTGATAGGAGGTGATATACCCCCGCCATAGCTGGCAACATCTACACAAGATGCCGTCGACCTACTATGGCTTTGGAAATTCGGAAAGAAGATAACTCTCTACAGTAGCCCTTGACTCCTAGCTCCTACTGCTCCGGCTACTAGCTCAACATGGATATAAAAATTTAAGACTCTTTAATGTATTATCAAGCAAATACTGCCTGTAGTTTTAAGTACAACTTTAAATAAAACACAAAAGGTTTAAAAAGTTTAACTAATACATTACGCGTTCTAAACCGTTAGTGTTTTAATTAAATGACACAGAGCAGTTATTCAAAAATTAAAAGTAATAAGTCAACAGCCCCTGGTGGTTTGCAATGGTATTACAAACTATCTGTCATTTTTCAATAAATATAAATTACTAATAAAATTAATTTTTAGGGTGGAGTTCATGAGTAAGTTCTACGCTGGTCAGGGATACATCTTCCAGCCATTCTGCTTCAAAATGATTCTTGAACAAGAAGAAAAAGACGACTAAGGTGTTGCCTTTAAAGCCTTATATAATGTTGTTACCATTCCATATTTGCAAGTAGAAATTAAAAGTATTTAGTCCTGTTTAATGGAGTTTTATTTTGAATAAAATATTGCACTTTATTCTTAATCTAGATTCTAGGCTATGAGATGACAATACAACAATACATCGAAGTTATTCTCTTTAACCAAAAAGTTAAGTTGGAGAATAAATCTGAAAGAATAATATCATGACTTGCTTCCCATAAGCACACCATACCTGTAAGTATACTGTTTGGATATATTTAGAAATGGTTTTTTGTTCTTGACTTTGCTTATAACACAAAAATTAAAAATCTTTTATTCTATTTTTTTACAGTAGTAATACAAAATACCTTGAAAGGTTTGCGAAATATTAGTTAAGTTACTTTAACGACGACCCGATGACTTCTTATGATTAACAAAAATATCTTTAGTGGCAACTAAATCAATTTAAAAATATTGTGCTTTTATTATTTATTTTAATACCGGTACAATTGTACTCTTGATTATAACAAATTGATATACAATAGGTCTTTAAATAAATAAGCAATTCCACTCGACTGTGTACATTTATAATTGTAATCACAAGGTATACATATGAAACCTAGGTATTTTGTGTGGGTTGAAAATATGACCCTGAACTTTAATTTCGAGTAATATTACAACAGTTCTATAGAACTACATAAAATGGGCCCATATCGAATTGTAGCTTAAGAAATTACTTATGTCCTTAAATTAGTTTTCGCCTTTTCAAATATTTCCTTTTTGATTTTCGGATATTCCGGATGTACCTTCAGGATGTGGCGACAAACGACGATACATTCCGGATATTTTTTCAGTTTAAGATTCGCATACGCCAGTTTATAGCCGATACTTAGGTCGCTTTTCGCAGAATGAATCCAGGCCTGTTCATAGTTTTGTGCAGCACCTTTGTAGTTCTGATCCTTTTCAGTGAGATAGCCTATAAATGATGACCAATTTAGATCTAATATTTATGTATTATTATATCAACTAAACATGATGTGTTGTTGGCCTATCATAGAATTGAAAATTCGGAAATCCACACTGAAACCAAAACGCAGTAAAACGGTTTTTTCATCTGTAAACGGTGGCTCGTGACCCTGAGAGAATGTTCACTTTGATCCACCCATTTAATATCGACGAAATTTCGTTTTAGACGAAATTCAACATGTCTCAGAAAAAATATAAATTAATTTGAAACATGTTGGACCCGGTCGGGATCGAGACAAAGATTGATGGAATATGTATATACATATTGTACTAACTAGTATTATATAACAACTTAACTTATACATACATACCCAGATATTGGTAAGCTGCAGTGCAAGACTTGTTATGTATAAGGACTTTAGCGAGGAGCTCCTTAGCGGCCTCTGTCCGACCTGAACCGATTTGGATGTCTGCAACTTCTAGCCAGCACCTTCGTAAACAAAACCAAGACAAATAGACTTTTAAAAATACTCAATATAAAACATTATGAACGTTAGTATTGTATTTCTACCGTTTCTGTAAGTAAATGGTTAAACGTGTTGCCTAGTATTGCGATAAGCGCAAGAGATCCTGCGTTCGAATCCCGGGGAAACGATAGTTTGTTTCTTTCATCTATTTGCCTCTTAGTAAAACCGATCAGAGAAACGGACACAGAAATGTGTGCGTCCCATGTCCCACACGGGGAAACAGGATTTCACATACATACTTTTAAGCGAAGCAATATGATATTATAAATTGTTGGAAAGGCCTAACTTTTACTTACTTTTCTAAACCATCAGCTTTTTCAGGAGTCCATGGGATAGAAGAAATTGTTCTTTTCAATATGTTCTTCGCGCGAGTCGGTTGCTTCACAATGTTATATCTAAAGATAAGTATGTAATATTAATTTGTGTTGTAGACCTTTTCGCTAAACGGACGCCTCGAATCCCAGGCGCATTATTTCACTCTAGGTGTGCAAGCAACTTCGTCCGCGGAGAATAGTTATTTTGGGCATCAAAATTTCATTTGGCAAGCCTGATATTTTTAAATTATAGCTATTACCGACGACGTCTGCATTATATGTTCTAACAGGTTAATCTTAAAAGAAAGGCATACTGTTGCGGACATTTTTTTAGATCGTTTTAAGAGTGCACGCAAAGGAAACTCTTAAAGATGAATATTTTTTCTGTTTTTTCCAAATTTCCTTCGCTCCTATAGTTCTTCTATCAATAATCTAACCAAAAGAATGATTCAATTTAAAATTCAAATAAACAAAAGTTACCATAATATTACTCGTAGTATCGATTAAAATACTTCTAAATACACTTATGTGATCAAATATATTATATAAGTGACTCACGCATTGGCAATTGCTAAGATAAGATAAGGGTCCTCATGTGCTCCTTCCTCGCTTATAGAAGGTAAAAGCTCTTGTAACACCCGCTCCGCATTTGACTTTTGCTTCGAAGCCAACTGAAGCAGTGCCTGCAAGCCTTTTCGTTCTGAAGGATTAACTTCTGCTAATAATTTCTCCGCAGTTCGAAGAGCCAAAATCCGGGTGTCACTGTGGGAAGGATAATTTTGTAAATAATACCTGGCTTAGATTATTTACTATTATGATTATTTCATATATATAAAGCGAACAAAAGAAAGTGGAAAGAATACTGTCTATAATTTACGCGAGTAGTACACATGCGTACACGTGTACTACGTGCGTAAACTACAGATACAAAGACAATATGTTATACGAACTCTTCTCGCAGTGTGTCCGAGTGCGCATGCTGAGAGAGACAGAGCAGCACCATCCGCTTTGCCGCACCGCTCGCGCAGCGCGCAGACCGTCTAGCTACATTCAGCTGGCGTAACGCACTATTCACTTTTCCCAAATACGCCGAGTACAACCCTTCACAATACGAGTATTCTGAAAGTAACGCCGTTCATAGACATTTTCGATCACGACTACTTTATTCTCATATAATCATTATTATTTTTTTATTTAAATGGAAGGTAGTTTTACAAAAATGTAGTCATAATTAATCAATGAAAACTACAGTTCTTTCTGTCAAAACAACGGAAACGCGTCACGTAACTTTTTTTTAATTATTTGAAGTAGCTTGCGCAGCCAACGGATAAATTCGCCAGCGTTTTTTTAAGATACACTTACCAGGATCCTCTCGTTTCTCCATCACCTGTCTAGCCTGCTCCATCATTGTTTCCACTTCAGAGAGTTTCCCTCTGCGCCACTGCACTTCAATTAACTGTGCGAGTGCTTCGCAACTTTTTGGCTTCACTGATAATATTTGACTTAAATGCCGTTGGGCAGTATCGAAGTCCACCTACAAACAAATTGAAGTAAACAACAAGAGAAGACTCATGATGAGCAGGTGATAGTTGCAATAAAAAGAGCTATTCAAAGTCTATTTGGTTTTTTACTGTGTGCGGGACCCATGAATAGAGTTATAAAATAGCTTGGCAAAATATATTTTAAATATGTTTGTCCTGAAAGATTTTACTCACAGTAAAATATGAAATATTAGAGACTAAGCAGTGCATGTGAAGACGTTCTTAATTTACATTTCTTGTTACAAACTTTGTTGGACTAAAAATCACTTCTTGGACCAGACTAGGTTGGAATTTGTTTCACTAAGTTACATTACTTATACAAATAAATAACCTTTCTAAAAGCTAAGTCAGCCATCATCACAGCAGCAGATTCATTATTTGGGTCAGCATTTAGGAGAACACTGCATGTTTGTTCACACTTCTCAGGATTGTTCATCTAGTACATACAAAATATCCATTAAATCTTTTTGTGAGCACGACTACCTCAGTATCTGATGTACTGCAATACTTACTTGGGCATACAATTTGGACAAAGCCAATAATGTGTCTGGGTTTCTAGGAGAGTATATAAGCGCTTCAGATAGCAAATTTGCAGCTGTCATTGGTTCCTTTACAGATTTAACCTTAGCTAACAAACAGAGAATGTGAGACAACTTCTCTTTCTCCTCTTGTAAATCTCCCTTTGAGTCTATTTCAACTCTTTTCAGAACTGCACCTTGAAGGTCTTTTGCCTCCGTCAAAATGAGATTGGTATTCGTAGCTGTTGGGTTCTTTAACTCTCGGCTCTTGGCTTGAATGAGGAGCAGTTTTATACGTCTCGTCAATGTAGGCGTATCTTTGTCTTTATTGTACGGCTGGTTAAGCTCCGATGAAATAACTGAATCCACTTTATCATATTGTTTCAACTAAAAAGTACAAGAAATATAGTAACAAATTATACATAACAAGGAATTATATATGAGTCCATTCATTTTATGAGATGACCTTTATGAGAAGCTCTAAATATTCAAATCGAAGATCGTCGTCATTGCAGAGGTTGATAGCATTTTCATAATGCTGAATAGCTTTATCATATTCGTGCATCTTCATCAAAGCGTTGCCAAGTTTCTTTACTAATTGAATGTTTGTTGGATTCCCTTTGAACGCTATATCATAAGATTCAGCTGCTTGAACTGGCTCTAAAATGTAATATTAAAAAATATATATATATAACATAAACAACGAATATTTAGGCCTTTTAAAACTATACCTTTTTTTTGATACTAATATTAGTTTAGTAATTTGATAGAGAAGATTTTTGGAATTTTTTAACTTAAATAACAGTGGTGTTATTTAAATAACTATATGTAGTTAAGGTCCATTAAGTAGCAAGAAATTAGTTTTTTCTATTAGTACAAATAAATAGAGAGTCGTAATAACAATGTCAGTCTTAGAATTCTTTACCTATTTGTGGGTAAGCTAATGTATTCCTCTCATATTAAAGTATTTAACAAGCTCCAAAGTTTAAATGTCTTACCATGTATAGACATAAATGCATCTCCCATCATTGTATGAGCATCAGCCATTGGATGGTTCGTAACAATTTCTTTAAAACAATTTGTAAACATCGCACGGTCCTTTTTCTCCTTCAGGTATATATGAGCCATTTTACTATGAGCTTGGAAGTAATAGGGTTGTCCTGGTTTGACTTCATTCAACGTATCTAAGGCATTGTCTATATCACCTTTTCCTAGAGCTATATCAGCGCGAGCTATTAACAAGCGATTCTCTTCTGATGTGTAAGAGAACTCTTGAATAGCTTCCTGAAAATATCGTTTACAATTACAATCTGTTGGAATCTAAACAGTTATAGAATAGTTGTAACTTTTACAAGTTAATGCACACGAAATAGATTGAAAAACTACATTACATCAACAGGATTGGTCACTCAGTTTTTTTTTCTCAAAATAGGACCTTATAAATCTAACGAGGTGAAAAATAACACTTACTTGCATAGTTTTTCCTGCATCTCCAAAATGTCCCAGAATAGATTGTACTTCAATGGTAAGGAAGTATAATGTTGCCCTATCAATAATATTGAATTCCGCATCTATCTGTTTGTTCCCACTGTTGTTTTTGCTAGTTAAAATTTGGATACTCGTGGAAAAGGAGGACAGAGCATCTTGTGGCTGATTAAAACTTTTCAAAATAACACCATTCAGGAAATGATACATGGCACTGTCTCTCACTTTAAAATTATAACTCAAACACATTTCTAGACACTGCGCAGCTTTAGAAAACTGTTGCAGCTGTATAAATATTTGTGTAAGCAGTACTTGGCTACCTGCATGAGTATTATCTAAATCTCCAATTTGTAAAGCCAACTTTTCACCTTCTAATGGCTGTCCAAACTGAAATTTTAGTTTTGCTAATTCAAACAAAGCTGGCACCAAACCTGGACATGCACTGCAAATCGCTTTCAAGACATTAAAACATGTGTCTGTAGATGAATTTTTATCTTCTTGAGAGTAGAGGATGTAACTCGTTATAACAAATGGCTTTTTAGGCAAGTGTCTTTTGTATTCTTTAAAAACTTGAAGCAAGAACTCTGGATCAAGGTGCTTGAGGTATACTAAACTATAAGGGTATGTACTAGCAATTTTTAATTGAGACTCAATTGCTTGACTAAGAAATGAAATAGCATTCGGACTTTTGCTGTTTAACTGTGCCGACAAAAGATATAGTATGGGAAATTTATTATTCCCTTGCATTTCAAAGAGTAATTCAACTTGTTGTGACACTTGATCACTGGCTCCATGTTCATACATCTCGCATAGTGTTAAGCCACATAGTGCAGTTATAGAATTACTATCAATTTTGCTTGCCGCTTTGAAGAAACTAAGGGCATCTTTATATTTTCCTTGTAAAATACATTGGTATCCAACTTCACTCAAATAGTCAACATTATTTGAGTACATTTGTGACGCATACTGTGCGAATCTGAACACTTGAGACATGACTGTACTGGATCTACCGCAGGCTTTAGAAAATATCTGTGCAGTGTCATAAAACTGGTACGCATTGTGAGTTTCTTCATTTTCCAGGACATTAAAAAATGTATTTAACTGATCGACAGTTTCAATGTAATCAGAATTTTTACATAAAGAGATAAAGACTTTAATTTTTAGCGCTTCACTGTTTGTTGGTTCTAAAGATAAGACTCTTTCTATTGTATCGTTTACTGCCTCCCATTTCTGCATCGCAAACTCATTTTTTAGCTTCTCTATTAAAGGCACTACTTCTCTGGGATAATAAATAATTAACTTGTCCAACATTAAATTAGATAAATCATGTTCCTTCATAAGGTACTTTAGTTTTGCTAAGCCTAATAATGCTTCAACATTTTTGTCATTTTTACTTAAAACTAGTTCTAAGCAATCTTGAATTGACATGTGCATTTTCACATCTAGATACATGTCATTCCATGACTTTAGTACTACTGCGTCTGTATAATTTGGATCTTTTCTTAGACACTTGTTTATATAGTCTGCTGCTTTCTCATATTTAGCAGTAAATGATAGGAATAGACCAGCATAATATAATGATGTAGTACTTGCATGTTTCCGTTCTTCTTTTAGCTTTGCTTCTAAATTATAAAGGTTTTCCTTGTCCCCTATACTTGCTAGTTTATGACTGTAAATAAGAGCCATTACCACAGCCAAATTAAGATCTAGATTTGATTGCAAGGGAGTTAGTTCATTTATACCTACTTGAACTTGCCCCTCTAATATGTTAGATAAGCCATGATAAAAAGAAAATTCAATTTTATCCTGTTGCATTGATACTCGTTGGCAGATTTCTTTTGCTTTTCCATAGTACTTTTCTCTTATATAATAAAACACATTACACCTATGCCATATTGAATTCTCCATTTTATTATAACTAGTCTAAATCTAGGTTTACTTTTAGGTTCTTGTATTGCTTAATGTTATCCTTATAGTACTTGGCCAAAAAGTGACATTTGCATATCACATCAAGATCGTTGTCTCTAGCGTAATCAAAGGCATACTGAAAAATCATTCTTCTTTATTTTCATATTGCTATTGACAAATGTATGTATGCAATACAAATGTATGAAAAATATAATTACTTACTTGACCTAATAATTTGCCAACTCCTTTACCCTGAAATTCTTTTGGTACCTCAGTGTGAATAAAAGTAATCTCTTTGCTTTTTAGATCATAGTCTAGGGTAGCTTCTGCTGAAAACATACGTATATTATATGATACACCATTTTTAAAATAAATTGTTGTGTAAACAAATAATTAGACTATAAAATAAGCTCTATGGGATTTTATCACATAATAACTACCTTATTAAAGTAAACAAAGCATTAATTCATAAAAAATATTAAACCAAAGAATTGCATTAACCATACCGGATTGCAAAGTAACGACAAACTGTTGCTTAGCAACATTGTTGACAACTTTCAACGCTTGAGTCGAAAAAGCTCTCGCTCTTGTTAACATTCCAGCCGTTTTACTAATTAACCGGAGATACAACTGAATGAGCAAAATCGCGAGATGAATCTAAAATATTATATCAAATGTTGTTACGGGCTACATAGAAATGCGCATCAAAATTACGCATTATTTTATATTCGATTCATAGTATTTCTATAATATACACTGTTTAGATATTATACGTCACTGGTGCGTCTGTCATTGAGTGACATTGACTTAAAATTGAAATTGACATAAACTTGACGTGGATTCGCCAAAATTCACAATTAATTCTTATACATTACACAGTTTTACTTATTTGGCGGAATAGTAAATAAACTTCGTGATATAAAATTTATATGTAAAAACAATGTCCAAATCGTACTTACTGCGACTATATTGTGTTGTTTAAGTTTTATATATCAGAAAGTCTGTTATTTCTTTATTGTAAGAAATATTCATAATAACTTATAATATGGATAGTTGTGGACTTTTTCCAAATATCATATATTATAATCTGTTTGATCAGAAAATATCGTTAGATTTCATATATATAATTAAGAGTTAGATAACGCTAGTAAGTTAATAACGTCTTGTCTACAAAATAAATTTTATATATTTATTGATTGTTTTTTTATATTTAAAGAGGAAGTAAAGGTATATTGATGCTTTGCGTGTAACGGAACCATTTTTTATTGACGTGCTAACAATTGGCATTTCGGATCACTGACACGTTTAAAAACTTTTTAATTTACCCTCCCATAAATTTATTCTGCTTTTTATAATAACTGTATATATTATATATGTACTCACGAAAATAGTTCGTTAATGTGGTCATTTCTGCTGTTAAAAAATTTAATTCAACTTTTTTATTCATTGACCTGAAAAATATTTTTACGATTATAAATTTATTTAATGATAAGTACCTAATTTAATCAAATTTTATAATTATATTTAAAAATTTTAATAAAGCGATGATAACGATATTCTTTTTAGCGATCCTAATATGATTGTCTTTAGATAATATTATAATTCCTATTTATTTTTCTAACAGGGTTAGGATTTAGATTTTATTGAAAGCAATCCTAAGACATACATGGTTATTGTTGCCGACAAAGATTATGGAGTTGATAATACATAATGCTCAGTACGATATACTTTTATGGTCATTGTAAAATGTTAAGAAAACACACAACATAATTCAATATATAGGTATATTACTTACAACATGAACTTTATTCATAACGTTATTGTCTATGAAGAATGGGACACAGTCTTGGTTTTGTGATGGCTGCGGTGAGCATAACAAATTTATTAAGTTAAATATAAATTATAAATAAAGAATTATGGCTAATAAATAATCATCACGTCATGGGTTTGCTCCCCAACGGGGATTAACTGACTAATATTTACCATTAGGTAAGGTAGGTAAATATATGGTATTAACCTAAATTCAGTATAGTATTTCTGAAACATGTTGCACTTCGTCTGGAAATTTGGATATTAAATGGGCGGTAGGAATTTTAAAATTGAAAAAGCTGTGAAGTTTAATTACGTTTCGGTTCATTTCCGAATATCCAAAGAAAAATTGGTTACATACAAACAATTGAAAATGCTCTGTTAATGATGGTTAAAATCAAATTTTCATTATAGGTACTTTTCTTTAGTACTTGCGACGCTGGAGCTGTTAACTGCACAGCAAGAGGGCGCTTTCCTTACTCAGATGATACAACTTGCAAAAAATATTATCTTTGTGTATACGTACCCTCGACTGATTCGTTCACATCCTACAACTATACGTGCCCAACAACCACCTTATTTAGTCCATCTGCAGGGTTATGCACAACAAATTACATTTGTAATAGAACAAATAACAGTACAGGCAATTCTACTAGTACAAATCTTACAAATAACACTTCTACATCTACAACGAACTCTACAGCTGTCATATGCACGCGAGAAGGTTTCGTTTCCGACCCGTTATCGACTAATTGTACCGGGTACTTTGCCTGTATCAACATAAGCGGTAACTTTGTACAAGAAGCCCAAACATGCCCTGATACTACTTATTTCAATCCAAAAACGTTTATCTGTGACTTTAACTTCATATGTCCGTCGCCACCAGCATGTTCTGCCCCAGGTCGAATCCCGGACACATCAGTTCCTGGATGCAAAAATTATATCATGTGTCTACGATCAAATAACGGTACTCTTGTTCCGTTTAATTACACATGTCCTTTAATATCTGTGTTTAATCCGTCAACTCAGACATGCACTACCAATTATACATGTAACATATAGAAATTTTCATTTTTTCCTTATGAATGTTAAATTGAATGGTTTTCAAACACTGTGTTATTATATTAGAAAAAATCGTGTGAATAATGGTGATCGGATTTTGTTTCACTTTTACTTGTTGACGTCACTAATGAATATTATCTGCATGAGAATTAATTATAAAATATGATTATTAGCACTGTTTTGGACAACCTTTCTATAATTTTAATGTAATTCCCACTGAAATTTTACAATGTGTGCTCTTCTCTCTTATAATATTTGTTTTTGCTTTCTGTATTCGCCTATAATTCGTAATGTGAATCAAAAAATATAAAGTGAGTGAAAAGATCCTAAAACATTGCGGTACGTCTGACACTTATTTTTAAAAGTTCACTCCTTAATCGTGATCTCCATTCAACTATGCTCGAAACTCTGGAACACACATACAACTTATGGAAAGAAGCCTGAATGTTGAAAGGGAAGTGATCGCTGCATATTGATCCCAACCATAGATTATACCATATTAAACTGTATTATCCCAACGGCGACTGGTCATAAACGAAGTCGACCAATCGAAACGCAGTTGAGCTCGTGGCGTAGCGCGCGCAACGCGCTTGCGCAGGTGTTCTCATGTGTTATGTTTACATAAAAAAACGCAAACAAAACGGATTCCGTTACTTAAATGAAATAAAAAAAATGTAATAATATTCATATTAAACTGTAAGTTGTTTTAAAATGTAGATAATAGATTTTATTTATATAGATCAAATTTATAATAATAATAATAATAATGTTTTAATTGTTTATTTAGTGAATTTATAATGATATTTAACTAAGTTTGTGTTTTACTTAACCTTCCTAAGCTAGTCTTTGTCATGAAATAGGTACTAGACACAACCTTCGAATCTAACAAAAACGTATTAATTGTAACTTTTTGCGCGTTAAATATTCATTAAACAATAATCAGTCTTCCATTTCCGACGGTGAGGTAATTTAAAACGTTATCTTTTCAGTCGTTTCTTTCGTAAAATTGTACATTAGTAAAGCAACAACTTATTAAAACTTATTTATACCATAATGTTAAGAAATATTTAAATAACTTGAAAGTGATATTGTGTTGCCAGTTGTGATATTTTAATCAGATGTGAATGCTATCGAGCATATGGGGCAATGTGTGTCCCGGGATCATCCGGGCTCGTATGAATTTACGCGGCACTATGACGCTGAAAGCCTAGCCAGCAGTTACAATGGATCGACGAAACGAGTAAGTACTACTTACTACCAGCTATCGCAACATAACACATTACACACACAATACAATTTAATAAAATTGAACTAGCGCGTATACATGTAGATAGCTCAATTGGTTAGAGCAACAACTGAAATGCTGTATATGCCGGTTCAAGTCCTGCCCGTGTCGTTTTTTTCATGGGTATAAACATGAGACAATATGTTAAAATTTTCAAACGTGAAAATTACATACTTTTAAATTGGAATCAAATCGCCCGAGGCACACATTTATTATCAACAAATAGACTTAATAAAATCGAACAAAGAAACAGGCATGTTGGGGCCCTAATCAGGAGAAACGAGATGTTTACAATTAGAGTGTTGGGCCTATGTCGACGTTCTCAGTAATCTAGTCTTCTAAATTGGCTAAAACTCGAGCTTTGTTTGTTTTGTGGCATTTTCTGTTATCTGAAAATGGAGTCCAATTAAAAGCCTCGAAAGCCTCGATTTCTAACTTTCGAAGCGTGACTAGGGATGAATGAAGTTCTTAGTCTTGAGATGTGTAACAACGATAATACTGAACGCAGATGTAGTCTTGAATCGTAACATACAAATAGATCTTGTTTCAATACAAGACATTCGAGCGATTGTAAATTGTCATTAGTATCAATGGATTATTAATGAATGAATAGCTGATCGGGCAAACGTTGTGTTGCAAGTTTAATATTATTTTGTTCATACAAATAATAATGCATTAATGACGTTTTCCAAATTGTATTAGGTACTATAAAAATGGTGAGTTTAACTTAAAACATATAACATATATGTATATCGCGCTTTTTTAAAGAGTATTTAAACAATCTAAAATCATTATTGCACATATATTTTTTATTTCTTGAACCGTTTTCGCAACGCACGCGACGGAGACCCTCGAAGAATTTTGTCCTATTTTTTCCACTGTTTGATTCCTCCTATTGGTCGCAGCAGTGATCTTATATAGCCTGAGGCTATCCTCAATAAATGGTCCATCCAAGACATTTTTTAAATGCGAACCATGAGATCCTGAGATAAGCGCGTTGAAATATTTTTTTAGATTTGAGTAACATCATAGAACATTTTACAACAAACATTAGGTAAGATAAGATGCTTGAATAGTAAATGATTTTGGTGACTGGTAAATTAGAAAATAATAAATTTTAATATCATATAAGTATCTGTAAAATTCAAACACGGCTCCGACCAAACCGTTTTAAGTATCTCTAACAAACCAAACATATACTAATACGAAGTAACCTTTTTATAACCTTAGAGTAGAATTAAGAAATATGCCTTGTTATAAAACACAAGTTTCATATTTGTACAACCAGGGGTTAACAGTTCAGACATCAACTATTCTATATACAAGTACACACTATGTAAATTCCAAACATTTGAACTAACAAAGAGAAACATATTCAAGAAATAGAATATTTATTATTTTCTATTGGGGACACCTATAGCAGGCCGGGAAATCAGTTCAT